ATATTATGGGAATGGTTCCTATAATATTATGGGAATGACGCACATAATAATAGAAAAAAGTTTATTTTCTTAATAATGAAGCAATCACTTCAAAAATATTAAGTAATTATTATCCGAACAAAAACAGTTTCACTGTAAAAAAATCGTGCCAAGTCCACGTTCATAAGACTATTAAGAGAAAAATTAGTTTTTTTCTTTACAAAAAGATATAAAATTAAAAAATTAAAAAATCCAAGTAACCGGTATGATTGTTTATGATTTTCGGAAATTAAAAAAAATTTTTTTGTAAATTTAAAAATTAAAAAAACAATTTTAGAACGTACTTGGTGCGTCATATTGTGCATTTCAATTTTTTTAAAGTCCTATTAAATAGATTTTACGAATTTAGTTAAAAGTAAAATATTTTGCAACAACGCACACTAAATACGTTCCAAAATTATTTTTTTTAATTTTTAAATTTACAACAAAATTTTTTTTAATTTCCGAAAATCATAAACAATCATATCGGTTACTTGGATTTTTTAATTTTTTTATTTTATATCTTTTTGTAAAGAAAAAACTAATTTTTTTTCTTAATAGTCTTATGAACGTGGACTTGGCGCGATTTTTTTACAGTGAAACTGTTTTTGTTCGGATTGAAAACAACAAAGAACATCAAAGTAATTTAAATAAATTTCTTGATCCTTTGTTCGACGCAATACTGTCAGAAAAGCTCTACTCTGTAAGGTGGATTTTCTTCAGTACCGAGAGACATCTCCATCAAAATTAAATGGAACAATATAAATTCGAGTGTATTATTTTTCCACAGCCCTTGAAACACCGGGGAAAATGTGAATGGATGGCAGAGGGTACAGCGCAGATAAGATAAAATCCAGCTATCCTGTCTGTATAGAACAGCTCTAACCCTTTTAAGTTTTCACATGCATTTAAACCTGAAATTCATTTTCTTAACTCGACTGTTGAAAATACAAGACGTACCTAAAAGCTTCAATCTCCCTTTGCTTTATACTTGAATTTTTCTTCTATCTGAAGCTCCTTGCCTATCCATTCCATTCCATATCTTACGCTTAATAAATAAATATAAACTCTCTTGTTTGCCTGTGCTCCTTATTATTATTATTTTTATTATTAATATTGCAGAGTAGTGTAGACATCCATGTTTTACACCAGACTTTCCATTACTTATTTTTTAGGTAGCTTATTAAATTTAACTCCGCTGGCATTTAAATTTATTTATCATAAATGTCTGTACCGGTAATCAAAACCTTTCACGATTTATTTATTAACATACAACGCAAATTAGCATGTCATTTAAATAAATGAATATTAACAACGACACATGTATCAATAACGTTTTTTTTTACATTAATTAAAAATTATTTATAAATTATCATAGATCAATATTTGATTAAATTACGGCTTTAAAATTTATCTCTTGGATCTTTAATACATTATTTTAATTCCCGAAAATTATATTTTTAATCTCATAATCCGCACTATTTACTTAAATCCTCCCATTCAGCTGTAATTACTTTGTCTAAAACTATTTCAGAATAACCAGCTAGCTTTTACAATTGAATTTTTGGGATTAGAACTCGCTTGGATGAAAATTTTTTTTTAATTATAAAAATTAAAATTTTTACTACAGTAAAAGTTATAGAATTTATATTTATAAATCAAAAATATATTTTAGTATTTCTAGAAATAATACAGCTGTAACTAATTAGAAAAATAAATAGCACAATAGTCTATTCAGCAATTGTTTGGTGAATGATTTACAAGAGCCTAATGAAGCTTTAATGACCTTTGAAATTTGTCATAGGGGCGAGTTTTATTATTTTCAATCAAGTTTAATGTAGTGCTCAAACTTTTAAAAAATTTTATGTAATTTTAAAGTTTGAAAAGAAAATTAATCATTACACACTGAATTAAATAGTTATTCAAAATTACTATTATCAAAAAATAGATTTTATGGTTCTTATTTGAATTTTTATTGAAAAAATGATAAAAATTTTCCAACTGGTACACAAAAAAAAAAATCAAGTAAATAATTTTGAAGAATATCATTTTCTTGATTTGAGTAAAAAAATTCTTACACTAAGAACTTTTTCTTAGTCTAAGTAAATTTTACTTAATTCAAGAATTTTTCATCTTGATTCAAGACAATGAAACTCTTCAAAATTATTTTCTTGGTTCGAAAATTTTCCTCTTGATTCAAGTTAATTTTTTTTTCAGTGTACATTTTCAAATTTACATATTAACTTTTTTTTGTAATCGTAAAAGTAACTCTTATAATTTTAGATAAATTCACATTACAAAAAATTTATACTTATTAAATTATACTGTTAATATTTTTAAAATTATTCTTGGAAATAATTGCAAAATTTTTTTAAAACAAATAAGATTATTTTCCAAAGTTTAATCATCTCAGATTAACCAAAAAAATTTTTGAATTTAAAAATTATTATCGTTGTAACTAAATTTTACTTAACTAAAAATTTTTTCTTAATTTAAAATAATCAAATTTTTCAAATAAATTTTTTTTGCTTAATATTTCTTCTCTTAACAGTGTTATACATCTAATACAAGTCAATATTTTCTTTCTTATACTTGAATCTCAAAAAAAAAAACATTAATAATTAAATAATTACTGAACTCCACCATCATCAAAAATTTAAATTTGTGGTACTACTCGGAGCCTTAATGAAGAAATAATTATAAAAAATTTTACAATTCTAAGCTCACAAATTTTCTTTTCTAAAACTATCATTCAAGTATGAGTTTCCTAAATCCCAAATAAAGTATCATCAAGTTCCAAAGCAAGTATATTACCCAAGTTACAGCTCACAAAATAGAGGTTTAATTAATTAGTTAAAACTACTCGGGAATAACTTTATATACACTGCTCGTTATCTTCAATTACAGCGTGATTAAATTTCAGATAGAGAACAATTCGTCAATGCAATGGAGTAATGATCTGAAAATAATTACCTACAAAACACAATAGATTTATAAATCATCAACCACGGTTGATAATTAACAATCCGGTTATTAAAGTTATACTAGTTAAAAACAACAATTTATCAGGAGAAGACAATAGCGCAAGTTGTAAGAGGATAAGGAACGTCTTGCTCGAAGTTTCCATCTTAAATATTTAATGTAATAATTTAACTCATATAATTTGTAGTCTTGGAGCTCTCGAAGCATCTCTTGGGATTGGTTTTAGACATACCATATACTCCTATATTGTATATATACGTACTCCTCATTATTATTCCTCTTGCAGCTCCTTTAGGCTTAACAGAAACCGATTATATATTCAACTATGAAATGCTTTTGATAATTAATCAGATGGCTTACATTAAAGTAACATTATTCTACAACTTTTGACTACTTTAAATTTTAGTTAACAAAAGACCACACAAACCCGGAGTTGATAAATAACAGAGACAAAGAACCGAAGAATAAAAGACTGTTTAACTTAAAATCTTATGATATCATTTTTGAGCAACTTTTTTCTTTTTTTTTCTCAACTTTTTTTCTCTGGAATAGGCTAGAAATAATACGCCAGGTCAAGGATGTCCAAACAGATGCGAGTATTAGGAAATCCATCCATATATATATATAAATATATACGTGTATCCATCGAATCTCAATTGAATAGCAGGCAATCTGTCTTCTGGGCATCATTCTCCAGGATTTTATTGCCTCCCAGGACGGGATGGAGAACCCGGTCCCTTGCCAACGCGATCTTCCACCTTCTTTCATCTCTGGTTACTTTTTTTCTTCAACTCCAAGTCGACGTATAATTTTCCCTATCTCTGGCTCGATACTCGTTTTATTTTAGATTTTTTTATTTTGCTCAACGCGAATGGAAGCGAGTCCGCTTGGTATAATATCTGCCGCGATGTTAAATATTCTTGTGAAATAATATACATAAGAAAACTCGGTCTTCATTTCTTTAAAAATACCGTCTCTTATTTTTTATTCTTACTCTCTTAACTTTTATATTTCTTTTTTTTACTTATTCTCTTCTATTCTCAGTTTAAAACTTGAGTAGTGTGAAATGATAAAAATTCGCTCATCATGTTCGTCAGTTTTCGCAGATTCACCATTCGTGCCAACTTTCAATTAGGATTTAATAGCCGACAAATTCATGAGATTCTTTATGACTCGGTATTACATTTTATACCCGCTATTCAACTGAATAAAATTTATTTTTAAACTTTTATTGCCCTTAAAAAACATTTTTATTTTTTTTTCTAGTCCACGGCTGGATAAAATTTATTCCAATAAATTAAGAGACTTTTTTTTTTTAATGCCTAAAAATTTTTTGGTAAATGTTTAAAATTGATGATATTTTTTAAATATTTTGTCAATTGACAATATAATTAATTTTTATTACAAATTATTTCTTCTGTTATTTTATTGAAGTAATTATTTAAAGCTTAATTTCAAAGAATTTCAATAATATTTCCCCTAATTAGATAAAAAATTACAACCAAAATTTATGTTGACTCAAGAGATATTTTCTTGATCTAAGAATTTATTTTGGAATCAAAATAACATTATCGTTTAAAAAACTTAAAATAATTCATCAAAGTATATTTCAAAAAGTAAATAGTCTTTAATTGTTATACCAAAAAAAAAATTATTTTTTGGAAATAAGTAAATTAATTAATTACTCAAAAAAAGTCATTTTTAACACAAATCGGTAACATCTTGAATCAATGTTATCGCCTATCTTGAACCAAGAGACAAAAATTCTTGAAAGAAATATATCTATATCTAGTTTCAAGAGTTCAAGTTTTGAAGGAAAAAAGTTTCTTGAATCAAAATTGTTTTTCTATCAGTGCAAAAATTCTGATGTTAAATAACACCGAAAAAATAATTTATTTGAACCAAGTAAATAATTTTGAAAAATTTCATTTTCTTAATTTGAGTAAAAAAATTCTTAAACTAAAAAATTTTTCTTGTTTTAAGTAAATTTTACTTGATTCAAGATAATCAAACTGTTAAAAATTTTTTTATTTTGGTTCAAGAATTTTTTTCTTCATTCAAGTTAATTTTTTTTCTGTGTACTAAAAAGCTAAATTTAAACTCAAGCCAAAATTAATAAAAGTTGGCAATAGAAAAAAAAAAAAAATTAAATCCAGAAGGTCAAAAATTAATATCTAAAAAAAAGTCTCTTTGTTTGATGTTTGTAGAAGGTAAATATTAAAATAATACACCCAAGAATGTGGCATGTTCCCTGAACTTGTCCTGCAAACAGGATATCTGATAAAAGACGTCTCCTGTACTACTAAATCCTCATAATATAATAATGCACCTCGACTAGCAGCATAGTAGCAATACCACCAAGAGATGGTAACCGTAGTGGTGCATAGTTTGAAAGCCCGTCGATATATCACAGACGTTGATGAAGATGATAGAAGTGGTGATCTGTAGGGAATATCTCGGGACTACCCTTGGAATGGTACCGGGGTTTGCAAGCAAGCGCAGCTCGTTATCGATCCTTTCGGGGTTCCCTCGGTCTCTGTCGGCTCTGTTCTCTCTCTTTCATCCAAGCAAAGAGATACAGAGTACACAGAAGGCTGAGAAGAGAGAACAAACGAGGAGGTGCTTCTACCTTCTTGACTCCAGTTGGTTCCCTGTGAGCGTCGAGAAGGATGAAAGGGAGTAGGAGCTCTTATGCTTCTTTTGAGTGTTCTCGTCATCGAATTTCCCTCCGAAACTTTAGCTTCTTCATCTTCATCTTGTTCTTGTTCTTCATTTTGTGCTTGTTCTTTAAGCTCCTCTCCGCTCGGAAACTTCCCTGTTATTCCATCCAGCTAAGCAAACAAATTCACTTGCAATAATTATCTCCAGGACTTAAGCGATAAGAGTTGGATCCATTTCCAATATAATACGTGGACATTTAACGTTTTAATCAAGACAAGGCAAAATTTGCCGAAGAATTTTGCTCCAGAGAGAAGAAGACAGAAGCTGAGGTCTATATACTGACGGCTGGGCTCTATTGAAGCTCCTTGGCACTCAAACGTGCTCTCGTCTTACCTCAAGAGCTCAAGTTTCTTCTCTTTTTTCCTTATTCATCTTGCAGCATCATCTTCTGGATTCTTTCTGGTTCTTCTTCTCCAGTCCTCGCAGGACCACCTTCACTTTACTCCACAGTTTGTTGAACACCAACAGACTCTCCACCACAGCTATAAATCCCGGCGAGATTTGTTTCCCATTCCACGAGCTTCGTCGCGGTTCACTGGCGAACACGACGTACAATCGGACTTTCATGCTATTCAAAAACGCATACAAGTTTAAGTCGATTGTTTTTTTATCTTTAATACTTTACGGTGATCTATTTCGTCTACATCTACGTTAAAAAAAGATTTATCTTTATCTTTATAAACATTAATAGGACGTATAAAAATTTTTTTTTCTTCAATTAAAATGTTTTAATTTTTTGTTCAAACACGAGAAGAAATATTTAAAAACTTTGGAATTTTATATTTCTTCACAAAAAAATTACCGACTAGCTTCACAAACATTTTTTGTAGAAAATTAAACGCTCTACAAAAAAAGTATCTTAATTTTTTGATAAATTTACTCTATCAAATGTTATTTGAGGATAAAGTTAGATTTATCTTGAATGTTTGAGTTTTCTTTGATCTTCAGTGAAGTTATTATCATTGAATAAAATTTTCTTATTTTTTTTCAAGAATATATAGTTGAAAAAATATTTGTAAAAAATCTGGAGGATCTTTCACAGAAAGTCGACGACAGGAATTAAAAATGAATATTTTATTTGATTAATCAACATCGTAGAGTGAGAATAAAAAAAGTAACTCTCTAGCCATGATGAGTTAAATACGTACTCATGTGTCTTATTCGACCTCTGTAAATGGACACTCGTGAACCATTAACGGCTATTTATCCGCCTCGTTGATCACACGTTGAGTGAAGATTATGAGAGAGTTATAAAGAGAAGTAGGGAACAGATGCTCGATAATAACAAATCAGACGAGGACAAATTATACCCGCTCTATCCTTCTCATTTATTTTTATTTTTGTTATTTCACTTCTCTCTCTATCTTCAGGCAAACAACAGTGACGTCATTCTCTAACCATTGACGAGAGCTAGCTAATATAAGCTAAAATATATTTTTCTCACGATGCCTCAATACTATATTTTATTTTATTTATAAACTTTACTTTTTTGAATCTCCGTTACCTTGAATTGTTATTATTAACATTAACATATCTTTCTCTCTTTATTTTTTTTAAGTTATTAATAATAAAACACTTTGTTTATTTCTTTTGTCAACATACTCTACTAATATATTCACCAATATAAATATAAATATTATTTATTCGCATAAATATTCGTAATGCTACCCCTGATAATATATTTTATTTATTTAAATGATATAAATATTAAGATGGCGTAAAAAATTCATTTTTTTTTTAAAAAAAACGTCAATGATAATTAATTTTTTAATTAAAATACATCAGTAATAATTTTTTTACTGACTTTTCTTTTTAATTCTTGAATCAATTGAACCTAAAACAGTTTTTAGCTTCATAAAATATTTAAAAAATAAAAATGATATTTTTTTCCCTCCCCAAAAAATTGCACCCAATAAAAAAATAAAACCCCTCCAAAAAAAACGAAACTGACAATTACTATTTAAGATATCCTATTTTTCTGCTGCAGGTGTATTAGTCGTGAATGTAACGTGGCGAGGAAAAACGTACGTCGGTACGTTATTGGACTGCACGAGACACGACTGGGCGCCACCCCGATTCTGCGATTCTCCAACGAGCGACCTGGACGCGAGGACCCCAAAAGGCCGAGGCAAGCGAGGCCGTGCTGCAGCGAACGCAACGCCCGGGAACGACCTCAGCAACTTCACCGAGACACGGAGTTCCGTGCACAGCAAGCTCCGGAACGGCGGAAAAGGCCGAAGAGGCGCCCAAGGATCTCCAGCGGCAAGCCCTAGTCCCGCGGCGTTTGTTCCCCCACGGCCCGACCCGGCCGCCAAGCGAAAATCTCGCGGCCCCGAAGAAGAGGAAAAGAGCAAGCGAAGAGCTCCCCCTCAAACCCCTCCCAGCGGGTCTCCACCCGCGAGTCCCGTTTTATACGAGTGCCCTGAGCCGAACTGCAGCAAAAAGTACAAAAACCAAAACGGGCTCAAGTACCACCAGAACCACGCCCACGGTTCCGCCGACGACGAAGACACCAAGGAAGGAGTCACCAGCATGTCCGAGAATGACGAGAGCAACATCGAAGCCCCCAGTCCCGCAACTCCCGTCAAGTCTCCAGTGGACAAGCCAGAGAGCACTCCAGTGAGAGCCTCCAGTCCGCCTGCAGCGACGCTTCCTCCAGCCACGCCTACTCCCCCTCCCAGAGTCCCCTCCCCCACGGCTGATCCCCCGACGCCGATTCTCGCCGACAAAACGAGTATAGTCAAGCCTGGAGTCCTCAGGTTCGGGCAAGACGACCTTCCAGCGCCTGCAGCCGCTGCAACGACGGTTCCTCCAGCGACGGTGGTTCCGCCCAGTCCCAGACAGCCCCCGGTGCAGCAAGTCTCGCCAGCGAACCCCCCACCACAAAGTCCCAGCCCCCACCCGAGTCCGCATCCCAGTCCGTCGCCCAGGCCCGTTCCGTCGCCGCACTTACCGACAAACATTCCTCAGCCGATAAATATACCTCAGCCCCCACCACCCAGCCAGGTGGTGCAGCACCAGCCGCAGAACCAGATCCTCCAGCCGCAGAACCTCACTGGCCAGCCGATGCAGCCTGGCCAGCTGATGAGTCCTCAGCCCCAGCTGCAGCCGCAATTGCAGCCCGCTCACCAGTTACCGCCGGTTCAGCACCCTGTTCAGGCGCAGTTGGGCCAGCCAGCCCCTGCCCACATGGTCCACCAGCCCGGTCTTCCACCTCAGCAGGCCCCGCCTCAGCAGCAGCCGGGTCTTCAAGCTTTAAACCAGCACCCAGGCCTCCAGGGGCTGACGAATCAATTGCCTCAACCTGGGCTCCAGAGCACGCCTCCTTCTGGCCACCCGGTCCAGTCGCACATGCAGTACCCCACCGTGGGGCTCCATCCCAAGATGCCCCAGTTCAAGGTTAAGCCCACGGCTGCCCTGATGCCTGAGCAGGACAAGTCCAAGGACCCCAGGTCGTCGAAGCCTCAGGGGTACAAGAAGAAGTCCAGGAAGTCCCCGGGTGGAAGCCCCCACCCGTCGCCCCTTGAGGCCCCGATCATCGACTCCGCGAGGGAGGATGTCCAGAGTCCAGCGTACTCTGATATTTCAGACGACGGCGCGCCGGTGCTCGAGGCCGAGTCTGCTGACAAGCTCAAGCAGGGCCAGGAGAAGGACGTCAAGGCTGGGATGCAGACCCACGTTCCTCAGCACTATGGAATGTTCCCGTACTTCGGGCAGCCCCCGTACCTGGTGCCCAGTGTCCAGGACAAGCCTGGCGAGCAGAAGCCCAGTGATTTGACTCCTAAGCAGGATATCAAGCCGCTTAATATACCCCAGATGCCCCTGATGGCCAGCTTGCAGAACTCCGAGAAGGAGAAGAAGGAGCTCAGTCAGCCACCGCCGCAGCAGCAGTCGCATTATTATAATAATTATGGGACCTACATTCCCTCTCCGTATTCCTACCAGCCTCAGCCGGTCGCGCAGCCCCAGCAGCCTCAGCAGCAGGAGATGGTCGACAGAATGGACGAGCAGAAAAATAAGATTAAGCAGGAAGTTCAGCAGCAGCAGCAGCAGCAGCAGCAGTCCAGTATCAAGGACAAGCAGCATGAAAACCATCAGATTCTTAAAGAGAGCATTGAGATGAAGAGCCAGATGAGTCCTTATCATGTCTATCATAGCTCACAGAATCAAAGAGGGCCACCGGTTCCTGGGCCTGTTCAGGATGACAGAAGGTAGATTTTCAATCTGGGATATTATTTTTAAAGTTTTGTAAGCTGCAGGAATAAATAAAGTTTTTTAAATTGAAACACACTTTTTTGGTTGTAATAATTTTTATTATAATGTTAAAGCCTCAATAAATGCTCATTTACTAACACATGATCACTCCATTTATTTGTATATCTATATTTGTGAATATAGATATACAAATACATAAAGTGATAATGATCATATACTGGTACATGAGCATCTATTGGGGCTTTTACCTTATATTGAACAAAAAAATTTTGTCATGAGATCTTTTAGATCAATTTATTAGAATGATCTATTTTAATTATTTATTTTTTGATAAAAGAATATCAATATTTGTCATCATTATAATAGGCTATTATAAAAACAGCTTTGTTTGAATAAAATAAAGATTATTTTAATCAATTCAACCGATTCTTTTGACACGAGAAATATATTCATGATAATTATCAATCATAAAAATATTTTTTTTCTTAATGTATTTAGTGAAAAAGTTGAAATTTTTTGAAAAAATAAAATCCCTTACAATTTAAAATTTTTAAATATTTATTTTCCCTAAAAAAAATTAATTTTAACTAAGAGAAAAATTTTTTTAATTTCTTTGAAAATAATTAAACTTCAAAATTATATTATCTGTAAAAAAAATTTTTTTTTTTAATATATTTATTTATTTTGTCACATAAAAAAAATTTCTTATATGTTTGTCGACCTCGGCTTCGCCTCGGTCAACAATTACATGTAATCTGAGACATTTCTTATTTTCCTGCCCTAGGTAAGAAAAATACTATTTGTTGATTAATATATAAATAAATAAATATATAGAGTAAAAGACCCTATTACTGACACTTTCTTCGATTTTGGTACTTATTGAATTAATGAAATCATTAATTTCAATAATGAATATATTATTTCTAATATTTAAGACCTTGAGATCAAAAATATTTTTATTCCATGTAGAAGATTTTTTCATTAAAAGAAAAAGTGCCACTAATGGGGTCTTTTACATTAAATCCTAATATAAAATTAAATAGAGATGAAATGTATGTGGCATCAAACTATTCGTAACGTGATTGGTCGAATATATCATAAGCATGAAAATATATGCAAACTCTATAGTTAGGCGCGCGCAAAATTCAATTCTAGTAAAATTAAAAGCCAGCAATAAATTTTTCTTTAAAAAAAAAAAAAAAAAAAAAAATGTCTTCAATAAATTAATGATCTAATAAACAATTTTATTTTAGGTATTACTTGTATCCGGGTGAGCAGAGGCGGAAAGAGGAGCCAGTAAAGCCTCCCCAACAGCCAAAACCTCCGCCACCGAGTCCGAAGCACCAGCCGAAGCAGGAAAAGCCGCAGGACCTCGGGAAGAGCGAGGAGTCGAAGAATAAGCAAGAAGGCGTAAAACCGACAATGGAAACCCAGGGTCCACCTCCGCCTCCAACTTCGCAGTACGCGTACATCCACCACCCGAGTTACATGCCTCCCCAGCACTACGGAGTGCCGTTCGACCCGAACCACTCAGTGTACCGGGGGCTGAGTCCGATGCTGATCCCGGGCCCGTTCTCGGGGAACCCGTACCTCCTGCCGAGGTTCCACGCCCCGGAGGACCTGAGCAGACCCCAAGGCGGGAAAGCGCTGGACCTTCTGCAGCACCACGCGAGCCAGTACTACTCGACGCACAAAATTCACGAGCTCCAGGAGCGAGCTCTGAAATCCCCTACGCCGAAGACTTCAGCGGCGTCGGCTAGTCCTTCCTCGGCGGGTCCAGCACCCGCGCGGCCGCCCAGCGGTCCTCCGACCTCGGTGGCTGGCGGACCCGGGCCACCTCCTGGACAGGGCCCTCAGCAGGGAAAGCAGCAGCCGAACAACCCCCAGCAGCAAGGACCTGGCGACAACGGTAGCGGGAACCTTGGAAAAGACACCAGATCTCCGCCTCCACAGAGGCACGTCCACACTCACCATCACACTCACGTCGGGCTGGGCTATCCTTTGATACCCGGGCAGTATCCCGCGCCCTACGGAGGTAAGCCACTTGTCAGGCCCTGACAGTAAGGCTTCAGGCGATCCGCGGCTCCAACTCAATTAATTAATCATTGAAAAAATTCTGAATTTAATATTTATTATTTTTTAATTATTAATAAAATTTTGTGAATAAATGCTGGTGGCCAAACAATCCCCGATGTAATGCGCCTGATGCTAAGTACACCACTTGAGACACTCCTTGACGATAGGAGAACAGAGGAGATTAATGGTTGCTTACTGGCACGCGATAGGTACAATGCCCCCATTTTTATTAACTAAATTAACACGCGATTTTGTTCAGGCTTGATATAAATCTTCAATGTTAATATTATTATTATGATTATTATTATTATTATTACTATAATTTTATTGTTATTATAAAATGCGTTCCAAGTGTTGCTAAATGTCAGAAAAGATTACTTAATTTTTAAACGGTAAGCCGAAAAAAAGTTGGTTAATTTAATAAATTTTATTTTGTTAAAATAAAATTTAATTTCTTACCGTTTGAAAATTTAAAATAATATCTAGATAAAATTTTAAAACTTGGGCCTCTCTAAAAAGTCTAGTCAATTGCAATTGCATTGATAGTTTGTTAAATAACTTTAAGTTTTTTTTTTTTTTTTTATTTTTATTATCAATTCAAAATAATTTTTTTTTTTTGGCTATTGCAATTGGGTATTTTGAAAAAGTCAAAGCTTTTATGAGTTTTAATAATTGAAATTTACAAGCGAACTGTAATCAGCGACTACTGATAGATAATTTTACAACAAAATCGCGAATTGAATTTTTATTACCAGGGCATGATACTTATTATATTTGTAATTAATACCGCGATCGAAACTTAGGGTAGTTGAGACTGTGATAATTCGTGTTGTCTCGAAAACTGTCGGGAGTTAAGTATCAAATACAAAACTACCATATGGATTTATTACATACATTTTATAATTATATATGTGTATAACGCAAGTGTTTAGTGGAAGCTTAGACGTCTTCCAAAAATCTGATACAAAATTTTAATCGAAAATAATTTTATTATTATTTTAAAAGCCTTTCACTGCCAGGATTCCTACAGAATCCCTTTTAATCGTCTATAAGATTCCTCTTTATCTTCCTCTGAAATGAATAATTGCCAGATAATTATCCTTACAATTACCTCAAGTGTCTCAACCCTTGTCATGGCCAACCGACCGCGTTTTCGTATTTTATTTATTTAGTTTTTTTTTTTTTTTTTTTTCCAAGTTGAGAGCTGGAGTCGGGCGGGATCGCTGGTAGTTTATTTATTTTATATCATTAATTTCTTTTTATTTTTTTTAATAAAAACCTCTTGCCGACTGACGATCTTTCAATTTAATTAATCATTAATAATTCATGTAAAATAAAATTATTTCTTGAAACAAGAAAATTTTTAAATTAAAAAAAAAAGAATATTTTTAAGAAAAATAAAATTTATTTTTTTTTAAATTAAATTTTCTACAATTTTTTAAATAAATTAATACTAATTATTTTTTAATAATTTGTGTAAAAAAAAATTATTTCTTTCAATTATAATCTACAATTTTTTTTTTAATAAAATTTTAAAATAAGAAAAAAAGAAATAATGAATTATTTTACACGAGAATTATAAAATAGATGATAATTATAATTATAGCAAGGATAGCATAAATTGCAATAGTAATTGTTATTCGGTGTTGATTAACGAGACTGGCAAAGCATGTCGGATCGCAGTCGTGCACGAGGTCAAAACAAAGAGCCATTAATGCTATATAATACTAACGTGAGATGTTATATACATAACATATATGTAAATATAAATTGTATGTATGTTGCAGCGGCCGTGCTGGCGAGTCAGCAGGCTGCCGCAGTAGCCGCTTCGGTGATCTCGCCCTTCCCGCCCAAGTGACCCGCGGCCCCCGGTCCCGGCCCCGCCGCCGGAAACTCCGCACAAACCCACCACACGCACTCCACCGCAACCGCCGCTGGTAGTGGACACTCGCACGGGAACCCCGGCAGACAACCATAGGACTGTACTGCGTTCGACGGACTTTAAATCCAATGGATCATCCTGATATTGCCGAGGCATAACTACCGATCCCAGCAATAATCATCATTATCATTTATCTTCATTGTTATTATTTTCACTATCGCTGACAATTATTGTATCAATTCACCATCAATGCACACACTGCATCCTTATTTTTATTTTTTATTTTTACATTTTATAATTTACTTTTTTTATCTGAAAAATTATTTGAAAAAATTGCAAGACAATTTTGAAATTTTAATAAGAAATATTTTTTTAAATTTAATAATTTCACTATCATAAATTTTTAATTGTAAAATATAAATTGATAAACGAAAAAAAAATTAAAAAAAGTATGCAGTAAACATTAAATAAAATTGTAAATAAAAAAAAAAACGCGGAATTATCATCCTAGTCCGGGACAACTCCAAAGGTATACGTATGTGGGACGATTATTAGTTAGCCATTAAACAAACATATATATATATATATATAAATATATATATTTTTTTCATTAAAATGCTAATATTATACGGATAATAAAAAAGAAAATAAACGGTTGCTTCCACAAGAAGAACAAACCGGCTGATAAAGATCTCGATATGCAGCTCGGCATAAGCTGGCGGTATTACTTAACCCGAGGATTAATTAGCAACAATTATAATTATAAATAAAGTATAAAATAATGAATAATTAATTAATATAAAATAAAAAAAAGGCTTTTGGCTCTGGCATTTACTTTTCAAAGTCCAATTTAGAGGGGGACCATGCTAAATTCCAAAGCACCCTGTTTTTATCGACCTGTAATTTAATTAATAATTAGTAATTAATAATTAATTATGAATTATAAGTAATAAATATTTGTGTAACTTAGATTTTTTTATTAATTGATATTTTTTTAGCAACACTTTTATCTCTTTTATCAATTACTATTTTATTTTTATAAGTTAGCGTCATTAATCGACTGTGATTAACGATCATTTAAAAATATAAGTTTTTATAGTTGACTTTTAATAAATAAAGAGAATAGAGAACATTCAATGTAATAATAATGGTAAATAATTATTTTAGAAAGGACTGGGTTCCGGCAACCTCGCCTGGAGACAATATTGCTCCTCAATTGTAAATATTGTAATTAAAATTAGTGTAAGAAAAAAATTAAATACTTATACATATTTGTATGAATAATTAATAATCATAATAATAATAATAATCATAATAATAATAATTTTAGGGATCATGTAACAAATGGTACTACCCGTAGTATGTATTATTCACCTGTGCAAATTATTACTGTAATGAGAGACGTATTACTCTGTATAATATCTCGCAGACACTTCACGTAACTTAAAACAAAAAAATAAAAAATAATTAACAATTATAAAAAAATCCTTTTTAATTTTTTGTGAGAATAAAAACGGGGAAAAAGCTATACGTTGATGAAGTGATCTGCAATTATTTTAAAATAAAATAATAATAAACTTTAAAAAAAAAAAAATAAAGAGTAAAGAACAAAGTCTCAACGGTGATTAACGACTTGCTTTTTTTCAAGTCTTGGTAGACTGAAACGCTCACGATCAGACACTTTTTTACGTGAGTTACACAAATATTTAATATTAAGCGTATTGATAATTAATAATTAATAATTATTAAATAATTGATGGAATATCTTTTAAAATGTATGATAATTTAATAACGTATGTAATGTATGAATTTTTTTATGTATGTAAATGGGTATGAATGATTAAGAGTAATTGTGATTGTGATTATAGATTATAATATATCCATAATTCGCTGTCCGATATGTATTTAACTGTAAAGATAATAACTGGCATACGTTTTATTTCTTTTTTTAGTAACTGCGTTAATTTTAATGGATAAATTTATCTCTAGAAAATTTATTATACATAAATATGAAGATATATATAAATATAAATATAAATACAATGTAATATTAACGTGACTAACGAGTAAGAACTATAAATAAAAAAAAAAAATTAGAGAGTATGCGTGGATACTTCTTAAGGAAGAAATAATGATTCTAAATAATTAAGATGCGTTATTATTAAGTATAAAAATGTAAATCGAAAAGTAGAACGCTATTTGTTTACTAAATAATGAAGAAAAAAAAAACATGAAAATATAACTAGCTAGTGATGCGATAGTAGGTTTTAAAAATAAAATAAAATAAGACCAGAGAGGCAAAGAATTAAGTAGTGACAAAAAATTGAATAAAAATAACAAAAAAATCAACGTATTATTAATGAAAAAAAAAAAAATATATATACAACTAAATTTAGGTGAATACATAATACTAGGATAACTATTATTGTAATAATAATTAATTGTAATAATATTATAATTATATGATTATTATATTGTATTATTTTATTATAATTTTATTTTACTATAATTGCCATTGCGAAATGACAAGTGTATGAACGCTTTGTGTATCCTGTACCAGGATGCGCAGAGTTTTTTATTGGACTGCATAGTGTCGCAAATGCCAAATCAAAAATTAATTGCATAATTATCAGAAACTTTAATAACGAGTAAAACGCCTCAGTTTTAATGAGGTCAACCGGAGAAAAAGGGTAGGCTTTTAACAAAATATTGCTGGTGCTGTGCTGTGATTTTTATAAAAATAAAATTAAAAAACAAACCTTTTAAAATATTAACGACAACTTAAATTTGCTTTTATTAATATTATAAATTAACTTTTTATTTAAAACGGAGTAATTAAAAGAAAAAAAAAAAATAAATAAATAAGTAAGCTTTTTATGGAAAATATACAGATAGCCTAAGTACCTGGACCCTGCCCTGATCTCCGAGTTTTACCAAAAAAAAAAAAAATGATTGATTTTAAAATTATTCCGGAAATTGTATAGGCTGTACAATGTATTTGCTTTTAATAAATAATAGATTGTTAATAAAAATAATAAGTAACGAGCTACTGAGTTAATAAACGAATGATTGGATGACATTTAGCTATTTTTATTCGGTTACACCCGCATCGAGCCTTATTGTACCTACGAACGTTAATAAAGGTAATTAATAAATAATAAATAATAATAACAGCGTATCCCTTGTAATAAATTGAAATGTAATTAGAAAAGTATAAAGTTAAATAACGAATATTCCATTTATATATAAATATTTAAATAATTGCGGTAACTTAACCTGGGGATTGTAATTAAATAAATACCAATTATTCAAATCGTAACTGACTGAAAAATATATTATAATGATAATAATATTATTGACTTCGCTAATTTATCTCCTTTGTTTCTTTTTTTAGAATGAAATCATAGTTAATGTGCTTTATATAATTACTCGAACAAATATATAAGAATTAATGGAGAAAAATTAATAACAATAACAATAACGTACAGAAGCAAATACAGAATACAGACAGTCGTCGTTATATTGTAAGATATTGTGTTCAGATCCAGACCATGTACTCTGACTCCCTTCCCAGACATTTTATTATTATGATTATAATTATTATTATTATTCTTATTATTATTATGATTATTATTATTATTATTATTATTATTATTATATATTAATAAAATATATTGTGCACTATGCTCCGAAATTGTCCATACAAATAAAATATATTGAAAAATCTCATCTCTTTTTTTTTTATTTCTTTACACTGTTGTTAATCACTTTAAAGTTAGCAGTTACTTGAGTATTTTTTAATTTTATTTAATAAAATAATTTGTTCTAAAATTATTTTTAAAAAATTGCATTCTTAATTTTATAAAATTTCTAAATGTCTATTTCTTTTTCTAATTTTTTTTTGCCATAATTTATTCGTTACAAAAATTTTTTAAATTATTAAATATTAATGAAAATTAAGTTAGCCGACATCTAAAAATTTTTTTATTGAAATAATTATCACAGAAAAATAAAAAAAATTTTCATTTGTAAAAAATATAAAAACTATAAATGCAATTTAAAAAAAATATTTTTTAGTCGTAATTTAATAAATGAAAAAAAAATTTAAAACGTCAGCTAACTTTATTGTTATTATTTATAAGAATTAAAGTATTATTATTAAATATTTGCTAGATTAATTTTCAAACAAAAAAATTTGTTCTAAAAAATTATTTTTAAAAAATTGCATTCTTAATTTTTTTTTAAATTGCATAAATTTTTAAAATGATTAAATATCTGCCAGGTTGATTTTCATTTGCTGTTAGTTTTAATCAGTGGTAATTATTATTTAATTAACATTAAGATAAGTCAATTATAAATATCAATTAATATTTATCTAATTCATAAATGTTAATTGAAAATGATATCAAGATAAATTATAATTAATTAGTTATTTAGTTGAGAAATGCGAACAAGTTTTATGTCGTGTTAAAATTAAATTATGACATTAAAGTTATCAGTTAGCTGACCATTTTTTAATTTTATCTAGCAAAAAAATTTTTTCCAAAAATTTATTTTTCTAAGAATTGCATTTTTTATTAATTAAAATTTCTACATGTCAATTTTTTACCTTTTTGTTTTTGTTATAATTTATTTGTTAAAAAAATTTATAACTAAAAATTTTTAAATTTTAACTGTCAAGACATATGGAGGGGAAGGTCGCTTAGAATTTTACTCATACGCCATCTGGTAGTTGTATCCAAGAACTGAATAACTGTCATAGTGATTCAAAATATGCGTTAAAAACCGATAAAGTATTTTTATTAATTACATATATTTTACTATTATTATTATTATTATTATTATTATTATTGTTCTTAACAATTTTTTATTATTAAAAAATATTTAATTAAATTAAAATAAAAAAAAGATTCTACGATATTTTTCGTTTTCATATAACTGGACGCAATTATTGGAGGCGCTAAAACTCATGTACCCTTTTCATTGCTCCCAATGGGAGTCTTCCCCTCTTGCACATACATACTGGCTGGACTGGTGTGGCTTGGTGCTCGACAGTTTATTTAGCGCGTCTTTTTATTTTATTAGTTATATTAAAATTATAATTTTATTGAGTTTATTATTATCAAGCCTTATTTTTTATTAAAATTTAGTGTTTCAAAAAATATATATAATTTTGTTTTAGTTATTATCGACTGTTTATTTATTAACTTTTTTCGTCCGTGTCAGTTATTTTGGTCGATTAAAGGTTAATGTATACGAAGTTTAGATTTAGATTTATTTACCGGATAAATACAACTATTATTAGCAAAGTGGATATTAATTGATGTCGACTTTTGGATTACACAAGGATTAAAGAGTTCTCTGGGTGAGTTTATTGTTTATTAATTTCATTTATTTATTTATTTCTTTCAAACTTTCATTTTTCGTTTCCCGGCAATTCAAGATGGTTGAAATTTTTTATTTATAGTGACCCTGAAAATAACACATGTTTGAAAATTATAAATAAAAAAAAAATTTTTTTTTTAATTTCACTCAGAATTTTTTAAATTTTTTACTCATCAAATTTTTTTTTTTTTTATTTTTTAAAATCATTAATTTCATTAAAAAAAATTTTCCGATGTCAGCTAATTTAATTTTCATTAAAAAAATAATTATCAAAACTGTCTACAATTTTAATTAATTTTTGTAATTATATAATTTATTTATTACCCATCAGTGCAATAGTGATAAATGTTTATAAATATTAATTAGAGTAGCTATTAAATTTTTTTTTACTGAAATAAAAATAATAATTTGCTAATATTTAACAATTTTTATAAAATTGATAACAGCCTTGATGTTTATCAGATAAACAATTTTGATCGTTTATAAAGGCTATTATTAACCATAATGTAACTGTTATTTTTTTATTCTAATAGAACCCGCTTAATGGCTTTGCTGTAGGGTTCAGTGCATTGTTTAAAAATAAAATAAAAAATATTTAATTCAATTTTTCAGAAGCAAGATGGATCGTTCCGCCAAAGAAGCAGGATTAAATATGGTCTTAAATGACTTGAACGGTTTTCATCAGACATTTTTAGCTGGCTTGGCAACAATAGAACAATTACGCAAAGACCATGTAAACTTTGTTCGAGATTTGGGCACTCAGATAGCCAACAAGAGACCGGGACTCCTTCCAAAAACACCGAAGCGTAAACGTATCCACACAATTCCGGAGAACGAAGAAGTTTCACCCGAAGGAAAGAAACCCCACGAAACACCAGCAAAGACCGATGATGAAGAACCAAACAAGGAGGAAGAAGAAGAAGAAGAAGTAGTCGTTCCTAGGTCTCGCCGCGGTGCTTCCGTCAAGGCTAATGAAAAAATCAAAAAACAACAATTGTTAACGCTCAATGCTAAACTACGCAGACCGTCTCACGATGAAGACGTCGTGGAAGTAGTAGTGGTAAGTATTACTTTTATATATTAAATAAATATTTTATTTTATAATAATTATAAATTTGTGTTTTATTAACAGAAACCCCGAACGACTCGAGGCAAGCGGGCGAAACAACCTGTTAGTGAATCTGACGACGAAGAGTTAAAGAGACCATCCAAACAATCAAAAATCGAGAAAAAGAGTCACATACTTATGGAGAAAGTTACTATTAAAGTCGAGCGAATATCTTCAACAGTTGAGCTGAACGAAGGACATAATGATAAAAATGTAAACGACGTTGAAATGATGAGTCCTCCGCGTGAAACTCGGTCTACAAAAATTGCCGTATCAGAGCCACCAGCTGATAAGAGTGTTGGTGAACAAGACAATACTCTTATCACTGAAGCGTCAATGTATGAAGATGCTATTGGTAGCAAAATGCTGCCGATGAATTCGACGATGAATCCCAATAGCACCATGACCATAGACAGAAAAATGATGAACGTGACAGTGGTGTTGGATAAAATGAATCAAACGGTCACTTTGAGTAAAAATTCTCTGCCATCAACTTCCTCTGGTGAATTGGTGCCAACAATACTGTTATCAAAGAATGAATTCCATAAGAAAACGTCGTCGTTAAAATCTAATGTCGTTCATTCAGAGGTTGATGAGCTTATTACTGACGACGAGTCTTCGCCGGAACGCATTAAAGCTGTCAATTCATCCAAGTCCACAATCAAAAAATTCAGAAAAATAAAAGCCGCTGTAGTGAGTGAAACCGAAGACTCCGAGGATGAAGTTTTAGCTACGCCGGTTAAGACAAATCCTAAAACAAAGGATCTTAAGTATAAACAAAACGCTCTGTTCAGTCCTTATGCTAAGCAATCTGTGAAGAATAAGGTAGAGGCTTTTGAACAAGTAGCACGAAGTCCTACGAAAGAACAAACAACTGGAAGAGTTACGAGAACTAAAACGCGAGCTATGGCGAACGCTGCTGACACTGCAGCAAGTAAAGCTCCTAAAACTCCAAACCCAGGTGATGCTCTAGCTCGTAAGTCATTGGCTAAAGCCAAAAAAATAGCCATCGCTAAACAAAAGCGCGATGATGACAATGAAAAAGAGAATGCGCTGTTAAATTCTGCTCAAAAGTCGCGCTTACCAGTTGCTAAGTCTGACAAACTGGCGCAGAAGCAACAATTGAGGACGACTCCGGTCAGCAAAGCGCGATTGCACATTCCAATGTCAGTAAATCGCTTAGCTCATACTCCGGTCAATGCTCACGTCTTACCAGCTTCTACCAGAGCAGCGACTACTTCCAAGACAAGCCATTTGAGTCACGCGTCGTCAGTCGATTCGGTGAGTCACTCGAAACCGCTGAGTAAATCAAGCTCTATCGACAGCTTGGTTGAGAAAAAGCAGCGAGACGAAGATGCTAGGATCAAGAAGGAAGAGGCGCTGAGACAGCAAACTGAAGAGAAAAGACGCAAACGGGAGGAGAAAGAGCTCAAGAATAAAAAAGCTAGGGAGGCTCAAGAAAAATTGGAGCAAGAAAAGCGACTCAGGTTGGAGAAGGAGAAAGAAATGAAAGCGAAACAGGCTTTGATTATGCAGGAAAAAATGCGCGAAGAAGCGGAAAAGAAACGGTTTGCACAGCTCCAACGCGCTCAAGAGAAAGAAGAAAAGAAGAGACAAGAAGAGCAGTTGCGTCTGCAGCGGATGCAGGAGATTGAAGAAACTGAAAGGAAACTCGCTGAACAGAGGCGACGAGAAGAGGAGAATGAACGTCGCAAGAAAGTAGAACTCAGAGCTCAGCAAGCTGCTGCTGCTGAAAATGCCAAATTAAAGCAGCAGTATCAAGCTAAAGTTAAAGCTATGCAGATGGAGAAGAATCAGCAACAACAGCAACTACATGAGGCCCCCACATCTTATAAAATTGACAGTGATCCTGATGATGATGAATCAGACAACGAATCTAATCCTAAACATCCTATACCATACTGGGCACAAGGTAAGTTTTTGGCTGTGTTATAGGCCTACTCATAAAATTTCTACTCACATCATATAACGACATCTGTATTTACATACATTTTTATTCAGATGCAACTTGATTCATTTAAATCTTTACGCCAATTCAACTTTACTAAATAACATTCATATTCACGTAAAACTTTAAAAAAATTACAACTCTACATCTGCCTAATTTTTAAACGCAGTAACTGCAAAATTTTTATACCTGATTTTTAGTATTGCTGCATTTTTTATAACTTCTAGACTTTAATTTCAAGTACTTTTTCTTAAAAATATTGATATTCAAATATTTTCTATTCATAAATCAAATTTTTTATCAATTTGACGCGCAAATTTTTTTTTTAATAAGAAAAATTTTTAAATTGTCAGTTACTGTGTTTTGAAATTGGGCAGCCGTTTACTTAACTGTAACAGTAGTCACCTTCAAGCCTGCTCAATTTCGTTTATATTCATTTTTAACTCTATTCACTAAAATTATCGCTCAGTTACATATTTATTCATAGAAAAATTTAATCAATTACATATGTGATCACTGACAACTATTCTCACGATCAACTCTACACTTATATGTATGGTTAATTTATAAAATAGAAATTTCTCAATCACTTGATCTTGAGCACAGTTATCAGTGATCACTGATCACATATATAATTGATTATATTTTTTTATAAATAAATATGAGGAGCTGAGTTTCAAAAGGGTATCTATTCATTTTTGATTAATCGAGACAAAAAACTGATTATTTTCAATTATAAATATTTGTATTGAATTTTTATTAATTTAGCTATAAAGTGCTATCGGTTATGAAGCTGCAATTCGATTTTCATTTATAAATCTTTATAATTCTCGAAGTAATTAATATTTAAAAGTTCAGAAAACTGATCTTGTAAAATATGAAAAGATACCCATTTGAAAATCAGCTTCTCATAGGTAACTGAGCGATAATTTTAGTATTTTAAGCCTGAGCCGGCTTGAAGGTTACTACTGTTATATTTGAGTAGAGTTGTAACTGTTTAGAGTTCTAGGTAAATATGAGTGTTATTTAGTAAAGTTGAATTAGCGTAGAGATTTAAATGAATCAAGTTGTATCTGATCAAGTACAGATGTCATTACATGCTGCGAGTAGAGATTTTATGAGTAGTCCTGTAACACAGCCAAGTTTTTTTTATTTTTTTTTTTATAACTGGTTATTAATTAACATTTTTTTACAGCCGGAATTCGTAATTTACAATTAGAACTGCAACAGTACATTCCGATAAATAATGTTTTGAAATTCTTTGGAGCTAAAAAATGCACGCCGGATTTGTCAGAGCTTTTTGTGGGAGTTAAAAAGGATCGGATGAAGAGGACCTCGAGTGCTGTGTGGAAATCACCACCTCGGTTTTCAATGATGGAAGATGAATAAATATTCAATCATTAATTATTATTCATTACTTTAAATATATATTGTTTATTAATATGATTATTTATTTATTCGCAGAACGAACAAAATTGTTTTTTGTATAAGTTTTGCTTTCTTCTGGTAATTATTTTATTAGTAACATTCTGATTAGATGTGGGATAAAGCTGATTAAAGGATTTTTATTTAAATAAACTACTGTAATGTATTCTAAATTGACCTGTATATGAAACCAGATTTATCGAAAAATTTAATTAATTAAAGTGCATGGACTTTTTTTAAAATAGATTGAATTAATTTCTAAGATATAATTAGAAAAGTAATATTATTCTAAGGAAGTATTCTTATGATTAATAATGTTAGAGTAAAGAAATATTAGTTATGATTCCTTTTTATACGTTGTAATAAATGACTTTTTTTTTTTTTATTATATTGTTGTGATTATTCATTAAAAATACTTGATAATTTTCCGCAGAATTATTTTATCATTTTCTTGTGATTGAAATGTTTACTTGAAATAATATAATTTATAATTCATCAAAAGGTAATTCTGATCTTAAATAAATATTTGAATTTATTTAACAATCAAGTATATAAATATAAATATTTAACAACATAAATTAAACATTTATTGAAGTGATTAAAAGAAATATTATTTTTAACGCCAAACTTATCAGTTGTAAACAAGTCTAGTCAAATTAGTGACTTGTTTAAAAAAAGAAAGTTTATAAAAAATTATTATTTAATCTATTTTTTATTAAAAAATAAAATTAATAAATTAAAATAATTTTTTAATGGATAATTGTATTTATAAATATATTTTGACTAACGCACAGTAATTTTCTACTTTAACTGTGAGGAGTATCGAAGATGCTGAGTAAACGTTCGAGATTTTTTTACCAGCGTAGACGCGCAATATAAAAGGAGGCGTGAATTGCTATTTTGTGAATCATTTTGTTATCATCTTTGACGTGTGAGTATTATATACAATTATTGCACTTTATTATTTTTTTATTATTCATATATTTTTTTTTATTTTTATTTCACTTATTACTCCTTATATATATATTAAATAAGTTTGCCACTAAAACGCCATATCATTGTTAACCACAAAAGGACGTTCGCATCCACCGAGAGCGTCTTTAAAAAATATTTAAAGATATTTTAATAAAAATATAAAAAAAAAAAAAATAAATATTTCATTTTTAATAATATATTTTGTACTAGTGTATTATTGTAAGTAAAAATTTTAATTATTGTTAATTTATTTATTATTATTAGGATACTGAAGTTAGCTGACAACTGTCATTTTTTTTTTATTTTTATAACAAATCAATATAAAAATGAATTTAGCCGACATTTCAAAATTTTTAGAAATTTTTTATTGAAAAAATTTCAATTGAACAATTGACAAAAAAAATTTCACATGTAAAAAACTTAAAAAATGATAAGTGCAATTTTTTATAAATATCTTTTTAGTTGTAATTTGATTAATAAAAAAAATCAAAAATTTTTAGACGTCTGCTAACTTCAGTGTCATCAAATCAATTACAAAAAAATAAATACTTTAAAAATTTCCAATAATAATTTTTTTTTTAATTTTTACTCCTGGAATTTTTGTATCATAATTTTTTATTAAAATTATTAAAAAAATTCTGTCAGTTAACTTCAGTGTCTTATTATTGTTGTTATTGTCATTGTTAGTAAAGTTTAAATTCCAACTAAAATGACAAAGAAAAGTCAAAAATATTCCTCTTATAATTTATGTAAATAAAATTGTTTACAATAATTAAACTGTCAAAAAATAAACTCATTTTTATGGATCATTGAACTCATATATTAATTGTGAATAATTATCATACTAAACACAAGCGTTACATTTAATAGACAACAATTGAACAGGTCAATGTGCAATGTGCTATCACCTCTTATCACATTTAGTTATTAATAATTGTAATTAGAGTAGAATAATGATAATTTTTATTTTTTTACAGGAAACAAAATGAATTATTTAAGGATATTTGTTATCCTATTTATTGGTAAGCTTAACAATTTATAAATTATACTTAAATTAAGTGACAGCTGAGAATTTTTTTAAGAAATAAATTATATCAAAAAAAAAATTTATTTGAAAAATTCCGTCTTTAGAAACTCTAAAAAATTATAATTGCAATTTTTTTAAATAATTTTTTTTTTTTTTTTATATATAATAAAGTTATCCGACGTTATTAATTTTTTTATTATTTTTCATTTATTAAATTGGAACGAAAAAATATTTTTTTTAAAACGCACTTACAGTTTTTTACAAATGAAAATTTTTTTTAATAATTTTTTCAATAAAAAAAATTATAAAAATTTTTATTAAAACAGAATTAAAAGAAAAATTTTACATGTAGAAAATATTAAAAATTATCCGTGCATTTTTTTGAAAATATTTTTTTCGTTCTAATTATTTAATTGATAAAAAAAAAAATAAAAAATTATTGAACGTCGGCTAATTTTAGTATCATAAATTTCTGTTGATTTAAGTGTCATGCTTATAAATAAAATAACTAAATCTATTAAATTGATAAAAATAACATTTTATACTTTTTAGGAATCTCGTGTGCAAATGCCTTCATAAAAAACCCAAAATTCTCCAAGAAGCATTTGAAATCTCCACTTAAAACAAAATATCTAACATCTCCAGCATTTAGTAATCAGTATGTAACAAAAGGAACTTTATATATTCCGTATGCTGAAATAAAAGAGCCGTTTTACGCTTGGTATGATGGGGAGCTAGGATCAAGTCGTATCGATTATTACGGAGGTAATTGATTATTAAATTTGTGCACTGACTTAAAAATAAAATAATTTTAATTTGTTTTTAGGAATGGTGAAAACATTCCAGCTTAGCGGTGATGGAAGTCACGGATCGAGTATCAAAATAGCTCCGATGACTACTGAACAGGAATTGAATAAAGAGTCATGTTTCAAAATTTACGGAGACGATCAAATGGCTATCCAGCCGCAAACAATTCTTCCAGATACGAGTGGCATGCAGGTACTTGCTGTTCAAAATAAAATTTTATCAATAATTCTTAACATATTTTTTAACAACAGTGATATAACTAATGTATGTTTTTAGTGCATCGGGGAAGAAGTAATTGATGGGGTTCCTTGTGAAAAATGGCGCCTCGTAGAGAAGTTTGGTGAAAAAACTAATAAATATACTCTTTGGATTAGATACAAGGTAATTTTTTTATTCGGAAATTTTATCTATTACCAATTAATTTTTTTTAATTAACTTTTAGTTTTTTTTTTTTTTTTTTTTAATTAGAAATCACTTGATAATGGAGTAAAACAAGCTATTCCAGTAAGATACGAGATGAAAGGATTTAATTCACTTTTAGGATCTCATTATGATCATTATTATTTGGATTATGATTGGTATTCATATGAAACTCCAGATGCAAATGTTTTCCACATTGCTAGCAGTAAGTTAAATTTTTATATTATTTTTATTTAAAATATCAAAGAATCCAATTAAAAAAAAAAAAAAATTTATCAACCTTATAATAAATAATTTTTAACAATAGACACTTTGTTTTGAAACTCACACTAAAATTATCGATAAGATTACGTAACTTTAATACGCAGCGATAAATTATTTTTAAATTTATTTTTCCCAACTCAATTTATATTTATCAACTACGATTGTTTTTTATTCTTATAAAAAATAATTTGTTAGGCAACTTAAAAAAAAAATTTTTTTTTAGACATGTCATGCACTAGTTTCCCAGGACCAGGAGACCGACATCTGTATACATTCAATCCTATGCGTGAATTTATTTCTAATGATCACCGTCACGTAGACACCGAGTTTGAAATTTTCAAAAGAAAACACAACAAACAGTACGACGGTATAAATGAGCATGGTAATCGAAAGGAAATATTCCGTCAAAATTTGAGGTAAAATAAATTTAAATAATTTTAATATAAAAAAAAATTTTGAAAAATTACACAATTATAATTTTTAATATATTCAGATACATCCACTCAATAAACCGAAAGAATCAAGGCTTCCAATTGGCAGTGAATCATTTGGCTGATCGCAACGACACCGAGTTGAAATACTTAAGAGGAAAGCGATTCAGTCCAATTTCTTACAACGGTGGACTACCTTTCCCACATGACGTAGAAAAAGAGTCTGCTGCGCTACCAGAAAATCACGACTGGAGACTTTATGGTGCCGTAACACCCGTGAAAGATCAGTCAGTTTGCGGATCTTGCTGGAGTTTTGGTACAACAGGCGCAGTCGAAGGTGCTTACTTTATGAAGTACAAAAATCTGGTACGATTGTCTCAACAAGCACTGATAGATTGCTCTTGGGGCTACGGTAACAATGGTTGTGACGGCGGTGAAGACTTCCGATCATACGAGTGGATCATGAAGCATGGTGGACTCCCTACTGAAGATGAGTACGGTGGCTACATTGGGCAAGACGGCTACTGTCATATTAATAATGTTACGTTGACTGCTAAGATGGCTGGTTTTGTCAATGTTACTTCTGGGGATCCTAAAGCGTTGAAGGTCGCTCTTTATAAAAATGGTCCAGTGTCTATTGCCATTGATGCTTCACAAAAAGCTTTCTCTTTCTATTCTAATGGAGTTTTCTACGACGCTCATTGCAGTAAGTTAAAATTTTTAATATATTTTTTTTTAATTAATTTTTTTTAACATGATTTTTTTAAATTAATTTTTTCAAGGAGAAACACGACTGTAATAACGGTCGAAAAAAAAGGTGATTTTCGGAAATTTTTTTGACAGGGATAATAAAGGAATTGGGGATCGGATTTTTTTTATTTTATTAAGGGTACATTAAAGATTATTACCCTAAATTTTTATTAAAAAATATTTAATTATTACAAAGTTATTAACAATCTCGTAAAGCACTAGAAAAAATTGCCTCCTCCATGGTTGCATCGATAATTCAAAAACGGATCATCTGAAAATAAAAACCCAAATTGCTTTTTAATATAAAATTTAATTTAAAGATTTTTTTAGCCGAGTTAAAACAAAAAAAAAAAAACAGTAAAAATAATGAGAAAATTTTCCGTCGCCCGCCATTTTTGTTTAAATTAAAATTTTCAAAATTTCGTAGGTGCGACGATAACTACATCTTTACTGATTAAAAAGCAATTTGGTTTTCTATTTTCAGATGATCTATTTTTGCCTCTTTTTTTCGATCGTCACAGTGGTGTTCCCCCGTAATAGCCGACCGTAAAGGGCTCCGAACATTAAATTTATTAATTATTGATTTCGTCTGGTCATCATGTCTACAGCCAACTTTTTTTAGTCCGGGCTGCTATAATTCAAACTTAATTCTCTACACGGTACAACTGGAAATATATAACTTAGATTTATATTCTTGAGATATTTATATTTAAATTGCAGCTATAAAGTGTAAAAAAATAGCTGGTTATATTTTTTTTGAAAATTAAAATTTTCAAAATTCCGTACGCGCAACGATAACTACATCCTTACTGATTAAAAATCAATTTGGGTTTTTATTTTCAGATGATTCGTTTTTGAGTTATCGATGCGACCATAGAGAGGGAAATTTTTTTTTTATTCTTTACGAGATTGTTAATAACTTTGTAATAATTCAATATTTTTTAATAAAAATTTAGGATAATAATTTTTAATGTACCCTTAATAATATAAAAAAATCCGATCCTCAAATTCATTTATTATCCCGGTAAAAAAAATTCTCGAAAATCATCTTTTTTTTTCGACCGTCACAGTGGTGTTCCTCCTTAACAAAGAAAAAAAAAATTACTTAAGAAAATTTATTTAAAAAAATTTTACTTGAAAAATATGTTATATAAATTTTTTTTTAACATAAATAATGATTTTTTTTACAGAAAATTCAGTAGACGGTTTAGATCACGCTGTTCTAGCAGTTGGCTGGGGATCAATGAATGGCGAAGATTACTGGCTCGTTAAAAATTCATGGTCTAATTACTGGGGTAATGATGGTTACATTCTAATGGCTCAAAAAGATAACAATTGCGGTGTTTTAACAGCACCAACTTATGTCATAGCTGCGTGAAGAGAAGCACCGAAATAATCTGTGATTCTACATACGAATTTAAAAAAAAAAAAATATGAATATTAAAAATAAAAAGTTAATCGTTTATATAGATAGATTGTATAACAATAATAAGGAGCTGACCTTAACACACTCATTAAAGTAAGATCATTATTTTTTTATTAGAACAGTTATGTTTAGATTATATTGTATCATTACTATTATTGTAAACTATACATCCTGTTTATAAGATATTAAAATAATTCAATTTAACTTGATCAAATTATAATATTAAATTTGAGAAATAAATTTTCTTAATGTTTTAAATTTATTTTTGATTTATTTTTTTTTGTCGTAATTATTTTTTAATTCTTGTACCATATGCGTTTATATATAGTTTTTTATTCTATATCTTTAAGTTAACATTTATACCAACTATTTTTTTGTATAGTTAAAAATAATTGTTGAATTTTATTTAAAAAAAAAAAAAAAAAAAAAAAAAAAAAATGACGTCCCATTTAAAAAAATTTATAAATAATTTTAGTACATAGATTTTCAATAAGTAAACTTTAAAAGTTATAAGATACCTTCGTTAAATATTAAGTTTGATATGGTAATAATCAGGTATATAAAAAAACTAATAATATTTAAAGATTTAATAGCATTAAAAAAAATTCGTTGCACTTTTATCATACTTTCGTCCACCTTTAAGTACATTTAAAATAATTTTTCACCATGATAATATTAATATTAATAAAATTTATAATCTTTATACATGTAGAAGCTCGCTAATATCTCAATTGAAAGTAATCTTTCTTTCAAAATACAATAGAATTAATTTTACAGATAAATACTTTATCAGACCCATTTAATTAATCCTTTAAATATTTTATTAAATTTACTCTATAGCTTCTTTTATTAATCACTCGTGGACCCTGAATTTAAATCGATCATTAAATAAATTTAATTATTGGCCATGTTTTATTTTAATTTAGTCACATAAAACGATCGACTTTACTAGATTATGATAATTATTAATAATAATAATAATAATAATAACCATAAGCAGGATTTTTGCCTTAATTTTAAAATAACAATAATTAATGGTGTTAAATTTTTGATATTACGACGAAAATATTGATCGTATAAAAATTTTCATAAAATAAAGTTGTTCAAAATTAAATTTTATAAAAAAAATGTCATAATTTTATCTTAGGACCAATCAGAAATCCGTAATTTCAAAATTAAGATTTTAATTATTACCAAAAATTTGAATTATTCATTATGAATCTTAATTTTTAATATTACGGCGAATATATTGGTCATATAAAAAATTTTTCAAATAAAAGTTTTTCAACATTTAATTAAAAAAAAAAAAAAAATGTCTATTATAATTTTCTCTTAGGACCAATCAGAAAGCCGTAATTTAAAAATTAAGATTTTAATAATTATTAAAAAATTGAATTATTTATTATGAATCTTAATTTTGAAATTACAGGTACAAAATTTAATTTCCTACAACTTTTGTTTAAAATTTTTTTTAGGACTAATATTTTTGTTGTAATATCAAAAATTTAAACTATTAATTTCTAAAAGGCAAAAATCTTGGCTGGAATAATAATAACTAATTAGGAATGACGATAAGTTGAGATATAGCGAAGATTATCTTCATCTTAAATATTTTTATAAAAAAAAAAAAAATTAAAGAAAGCCCATTTCAAGGGCATTGTAGAGCGCTTGAGTATCCGAGTGACTATTTATCCTCCAGAAGGGAAAATTGTGCGCTCGAGCAGCAGTTTCTTCATCAGAGCCATCACCAATGACTACATAGGTGCATCTCCTTCCAAATTTAGCTACAACTCGTCCAAAGCAACTCTCTTTACCAATTTTAGTCGCTGAATAAATATTCTCAATAGGAAAAAGCCCTCCTAAACCAAATAGTAGCACTTTGGATAGCGCAGGAACGAGTTGTGTGGTGGTAACAAGTATGTTAACACAGTGACTGCGCTTGCTGATGAGACTGAGACACTTGACAGCAGATGTGAGCCAGTTGTCAGTGAGCAGCTCAATTTCCGATCTCAATTGCAGCCAGGACTCCCGTTTAGCTCCCAGTAAACCGCCTACGTTGTTCCTGCAATTGCTGTATGTTTCCTTTATTTTCCTGTAACGAAAGGCCAGCTTTCGCATCCAATCAACGCCACCACGGACTCCAGAAGCCAGACAAATTCCATTGTTTGCAGACGCACATTGGAACCCATCCGCTGCAAAGTTGTACGAGGATAAATCTTGACCATTGTCGTCTGATGAAACGTCATCAATGTGCACTTGATCGCAATCCTAAAAATTATTTTAATCTTAGTATTTATTTTTAGATAAATTTTAAAAATGAAATTTTTTTACTAAATAAATTCGTGCAAAAAAAATTAATATTTAAAAATTTGAAAATTCAATTTTTTAAAAATAATTTATAGTCTTAGTATTTATTTTTAGATAAATTTTAAAAATGAAAATTAATTTAACAGTTATTTAATAATTTTTCAAATTTTTTTCAACAAATAAATTATGGCCAAAAAAATTGACATTTAGAAATTTAAAAAAATTTTTAATCCAATTTTTTAAAAACAATTTCAATTCTAGTATTTATTTGTAGATTAAATTTTAAAGATGAGAAATAATTTAGCAAATATTTAATAATTTAAAAAATTTTTTCAACACATAAATGATGGAAAAAAAAATTGACATTTAGAAATTTTAAAAAATTGAAAATGCAATTTTTTAAATGAAATTTTAAAAAAATACTTTTAAAAGCTAAATGAGTAAAAATAAAAAAAAACCTCAACGTCATTGAAGAAGAAATGTGTGTCTGCCAAATTGAATATCATTTCTTCCATCCTGTACGCCAGCTGAGCCAACAACGCCGGGTCCTTGCCATGCTTGGTCGCAAACTGTCCAGTAAGCAGGGAATGGAACACAACTATGGTTTCATCAAGGTCCCAGATGAATATCCGATCCGTGCCGCCTTCAGTAGTATCAGCGGATCCAATACTGTTTCCGCTTCCGCTTTGACGTCTTCCGCGCTTGCAGGGCTTCGCTGATGCGCCTGAAATAAATTTTCATCCCTTCGTCGGATCAGTCTCTCGTCCCACTATGCTAAACTTACTTGTTCTATCCATCTTTTTCTTATTTTTACCTTCTATAGTGTCGCGGGTCGTCAAATCATTGGCGTCGTGGCCGGATGAGTCCAGCGTGAGACTACTCGCCTTGTTTGAATCTTTATAACATATTAAATTGGTTTATTATTTATCGACAATGTTGTGATGATAAATTAATTTATTAATAATTTTATTTTTTAGATGAAGAAATAAAAATTGATCTTACAGCAACTTTTTTTAATAAATTAATTTAAAAAATAATTATTTATATGAAATTTGTTAATTTTTTATCTCCCAAATTTAGAAAACTTTTTTTTAATAAGAAAATTTTTAATTCTTTAGCTAAAAAATAAAATTTTTGATAAATTAATTTAAAAAATAATTTTTATTAGACAATTTGTGAATTTTTATTTAAAATTTTGTTTTTCCCAAATTTAGAAAATTTTTTTTCATCAAAAAAATCATTGTGAGAAAAATTTTTATTTCTTCAGATAAAAAATAAAATTTTTAATAAATTAATTTATTATTACATTGCTAATTTTTTAAAAATAAATTTCTTCTCTCAATGCACGGTATCAATAATTTATCATTATTATTATTATTATTATTACCTGTGAAATTAAGGTTTCCGATATTAAATGACGATGACGTCGAATGATACCCTGGCATCGGATAATACCCGGAATATTGAAGCGGCATTCGATCATTTCCATAGAGACAGGTGCTACTATACGCACTGTAGTCTAATTTCTGGGAGGCTGAAGATATGTTTTGTCCCACTGGTGAAAATGTTGAACTGCTGCTGTTGTATCCAGGATACGAGCCGTACTGGGACATTGGGCTTGGTGTTGTGTATGAACTTAAATACGAGCTTTGAAGGCTCGGTGAATTTTTTGTTACTGATCCATATGAAGGAGAATTATATAAACTGTAAAAATTAATTTTTAACTTTAGCAAATAATTATCATTTACTATAATTGGATCAAAATAAAATTACCTGTTATAATACTGATTAGCTCCATAAAGAGTACTATAGTCAGACTTTTCCATAGAATCAGGATACTCCTGTTCTTTATCGTCTATATTTTCATCAACGTACAAGTCACTGCCCGGTACATTTTCATTTTCTGGACAGTCTTGTACTTCATTTTTTACTTCAGTTTCTATAAAAATAAAAAATAAATTAAATATTATTTTAAATAAAAATTTTATATAAAAAATAATATTTAAAGATAATACTAAAATTAGCCGACATTTTTAATTTTTTTTTCATTTATTAAATTAGATCTAAAAAATATTTTTTAAAAATTCCACTTATGATTTTTTTAATTTTTTAGAAATGAAAAATTTTTTTTAGTCATTTTTTCAATAATTAAAAATTTTTAGATGTCGGGTAAATTAATTTCCATTTTTAAAATTATAAAAATTGCTAAAGAAAAAAAAAATTATTTTAATTTTTATAACAAATAAATTATTATAAAAAAATATTTAAAAAAATTTACACTTATAAATTTTTTTCATTATAATTTAATAAGTTATAAAAATCAAAAAATTATTTACATGTCTGTTAAATTAAGTGTCATTAAAATATTAAGTGTAAATAAATATAAAAACCATTATTAACACGAGGGTGTTGAAGCGTACTTTCCGTCGAGGACGAAACATTTCCAGTATTGTCTAAAACCCCTGCCGGTTTAGTTGGGTCATTGTCCTCGGTTAACATATCCAACCTGTAAAATAATCATACACATATATTATTTAATAATAAAAAAAAATATTTACATGTACACATATATGAGAAGACATATAATATCTTCTGGATACAAAACACTAAAAAAATAATATTCAATTTCAAAATCCTCTCGAGTTCTAAATAATCTGCACTAGCTGTCTTATTCCAGATTGCAAACTGCGAAGACTAGTGTAAGAATAAAATGTACCTACTAGAATGAAACATATAATATTAAACAACAACGTACCAAGAAGTAAAGGTAATTTGAGTAACTGAAAACCGGATCCTCGGTCCTTGGAACGTGTACAATATTCAAGTAGAAGCTTAAACTTTAGTTTTAGCTTTTACCTTCATTTTATTTTATTTAATTAATAAGTAAATATACTTTACGTAAGAAGAAATAATGAAAATAAAATTAGGAGAGATCTGACGATTTTTAGGATTTTTCTTATGAAAAAAATAAAAATTAAAAAACAACTATAAGTGCAATTTTTAAAGTTCTAATTTAATTAATTAAAAAAATTTTAGTGTCATGAAGAAATAACAGAATAATAATAAAATTCTTATTATTTTTCTTCTTCTTCTTCTTCTTTCAGAGAAGAAGCACAGAATTTAAAAATTGACGCCATTGTTGGTGAGCATAAATGCCAAAAAGTAGAGATCTATAATTATGATATAATCATATATATCCTTGATTGTATGGCCAATTGCAGAAGGATATGATGATCTCGGAGATGGGTAGGCGGCACCAGGACTCTCGGGGCGGTAACTGGAAATTCAATGGGACGCCCTTTGCCAACTAAGCTCACGCTATGCTATTCTTGATGGTTTATGTTAGCAAACGGAGTTACTGTCCATAATGCGTCTGATACCGCGCTCCGCCCTTCAGAATGAAACTAAAGTTGGTAAGTAAAAATAAAAACAATGGAGAAGAAACATAAAAGCCATCTTGCACTTAGCTCGCCTCAACGTTCCAGACTACTCCAGGTTACGCTGAGCTCTAGAGTAATGATATTGATACTCTTGATGACTTGCGTAAGAATCCTATTCCATGTCTATCCGTTCTATTCGATTGTACTTTATTGTGGGAATAGAGTGCAACTTTGAACGTGGAATTGATGGAAACACCGGCTCGAATATCACCATCACCGCAATATGTTTTTTTTGACATTACGTGTTTGTGTAAAGTTATCTGTATGGAAATATACGAGTTTTCAATTTTAAATTTAAATAAATATTTTTTTTTATTATTTAAATTGCAACACTGTATTTTTTAAAAGTTTATTTTTTTAATTGGTTTTATTTTTTTTTTTATTTTTTTTTTTTAATTTAATTAGAACGAAAAAAAAATTTTTTTCAATTGCACTTACAGTTTTTAAAGTTTTTAACAAATGCAATTTGTTTTTTTTTTATAATTTTTTCAATAAAAAAAAAATATAAAAATTTTTAGATGTCGGCTCACTTAATTTTCATTAATTTTTCAGGTTTTATTTACAGGAAATATCAATAAAAATATGGAAGAAAAATTAAATTATGATTATTAATTCTTTAAAAAACTTTTATTGAGATTGAAGAAATGAATTACTAGAGACTAAAAATTTTTTTAAATATTAATAGGCTTAAATTTTGAATGATAATTTTAATTACAATAAAATTAGCAGTTACTTGAACATTTTTCAGTTAATAAATATATTCCAATTATTTTTTAAAAAAATTGCATTTATAATTCTTTAAAATTTCTTCATGTCAATTTTTTTCACCATAATTTTTTTTTGTTAAAAAAATCATCAAATATCTCTTTCTTTAATGTAATGTAATTTGATTTAACATAAAATTATCTAAAAATTTCTAAATTTAAAAGCTAGTAAAAAGTGATATTATCGATAACATGAAACGAAATATTTAAGTAAATGTAGTGTCAGACCCAGAGCTTTAAGTACTTATTAAGATGCAGAATTAATTTAAAATACTGTGATGAAAAAATTGTAAAAAGCAGTGCTTAATGTTGTACAATGCTAAATAAATATCTATCATCAAATATCTCTTAAATTAATTTTAATTATTTTTAATATAAAAAAAATAAAGATATTTTTGTAATTAATATTAAATTTAACAATTTTAAATTAAAAATAATTTTTTTAGTTTTGATAACAGTAAAGAAAAAATGAAAAAAAAAAAAAATATTTTGACATCCAGAATAAAATTTTGATGAATTCTTTAATGGAGCAATAAGTGAGCGCTTTTAAATAAAAAATATTAAATGCAAAATAATTTTTCCACCATAATCAAAGTTGTCAAGTAAATATTAATAATACATAAATTATATAATATAAAGAATGGGTAATAAGGGGTAATATGAGTCATCATTACTGTCGTTATTATGTCTCTCTAAACAAGCAACGTGTTATCGCGAGCAAGTTGCTTCGCTTGCAATACGAGCGATCACGTAAGTGACGGAGAATGTGAGCATTAAAAATTCCAGGTTTTATTCTACCCCCAGTAATTAATAATTAATAATTAATAATTAATTATCAGATACATCTAATAAATTAGAGGAGTTAACTTAGACATTTTTTTTATTTCTTCTCACTATCAATAATGACATTGAAGTTAGCAGTCACTGATAATTTTTAAATTTTATTTAACAAATAAATCTTTTCTGAAAAATTATTTTTAAAAAATTGCATTTATGATTTTTTAAAATTTCTACATGTCAATTTTTTTTCTCATAATTTGTTTGTTAAAAAAATTCTAAAAATGATTAAATATCCGCTAAATTAATTCTCATCTATTAATAGTAAGAATCTGTGAAATAAAATTTTAGATCAAACGACCTTAAAAATAATTGAATCTAATAAAAAATAAAATTTCCATATAAATTAGAACAAGGTAAATATAAATAAGAAATAAAAAAGTCTTGATAAATAAAACTTTTAAGCTTTGACCCGAGTCTCGCATCAATTCCAATTAAAATACATGATTGTTTAACGAGCCAAATTAGATATACGCCTAATAAAAAGGTAGAGCGGATGGACTATTTTGCATAAAATATCCTATTTGTCAAACATATCTTCTCTGCTAATTCTATGCGTTCATTTGTATAAAAAAATTTTACAAATTAAACGTTAATTAATATAATTATCCAATTATTATTATATTCTTCTTTGTGAAATCTGTCGAAATTTGATAATTAGAACTGGAAAATTATCATCACGTAGTGACAGACAATGAATAGAGAATAATTAATAGTTATAAATGTTATTGTAATAGAATCGTATCGATTCAGAAGTTTGTAGTTGTGTTTGACATCGAATGTCCCAGAGACGCGCCTGTGCGAACAATGAAATTAGTTGTTTATTATTTATTATATATTATTGTTTTATAACAAGTACATTAACCAATTATACTAATTATTATTTTATTAATAACAATATTATAATTATTATCATTCATACTAACTAATTGGTAAGTGGATAATTGTAATACTCACTCAATAAATTATCAAAAGTTCACTTTTTGTTTTTAAGCTTTAAGTAAATATTTACTCATAAATTAAAAATTTTTATTTATGGGTTTTTTTATGTTAGTTAAATATTTTTTTTTCTTCAAGTTTGATAATAAACCAGAAAGAATATAAAAGAGAAAAATTTTTTCCGTTTTGAAAACCAGATGTGAAAACTCGTGGGTCATAAAAACGGAGAAAAAAAAACATAAAAAAATTTTTAACAGTAATATTGTTACTGTTAAAATAAAATATAATATTTAAGTTAATTTATGAATAAAATATTAGGCAATTTTGGAGCTATCTTGATCTTGAATTTTTATGCTGATTTTTTTTTTTTTTTTAGTGAATCACCTTTAAAATTCAAAAGATTATCTTTTCATCATAAACATAGTTAATATATCGGCATATTAACCCGAATGGAAGTGAAGTGACAAATGGAAAAGATTTAATCTTAACTTTATTATCAAATTCCAAAAATCTAAACATTTTAATTTATTACCTAAAATAAAAAAAAATAATTAAATTATTTAAAATGAAAAATAATTAAATTTCTCACCTCTTTTTAAGCAGATCACTTCCCTCTTATTTTCCACAATTCATAAAACATTTTTAACAACAAAACTTGTGTCACACGTTATCATCCCTTGGCCAAATAACACGTTTAAAAATAAAAATTTTTATTACATAAAAAAATAATTATTAAAAGTGAAAAAAAATATTAATTCACTTGAAATAAAATATTTGTGAGTGACAAGCAATAAAACAGCGATTATTTACAAATTATTTAGCGGTGAAATAAAATCCAAATAAATACAAAGGATAAAATAACATCCGAGGTGTAGATCGAGCCGGCTCGTTGTGATGCTGCAGCCTGTGGAGTTCTGGGCATGCGAAATGTCGCTTTCCACCCCCGCCCGTTGATCACGTGGGCTTCCCTTCCCTATACTGTGTCTCTCCTCTTCTTTCTGGTGTGTTATGTAGTCACATTAAATCTATATATGTTGGTATAATATAATGAAAAATAATATGTTGGAGTGAATAAGAGCAGAGATGCTGGGACAGAGCAAATGTGAGTACGAGTGGGAGTTCTGTGAATAGAGATGGACAAAAGTAAAAAAATAAGATAAAAGGGGATGTATATAGCTATATGTATAAAATAATACGTACACATTAGAGGCATACAATGCTGTTGTAGGGACTGAACAAAAATGAGGGGATTAACCCCTTGTTCAAGAAATTGTCACCGGTTGTCAGCATTCATTTGGCTGAATAAAACCACTGACTACCCTTATGTCACTCTGATGTGCTTTTATTTTTATTACATGCTTTTATTTTTTAGTGACAGGCGTAAATATTTTGCTGATGGATCTGAAAAAATTTTTATTAACCGTATAATTAGCTTTGTTACTTAAAATTTTATTTTTAGATAAATTTTTTATAAAAAATTCATGAAAATTCATTTAGGCGATATTTTATAATTTTTTCAATAAATCAATTATGTCAAAAAAAAAAAAATGAGAAAAAAAATTGACATTTAGAAAATTAAAAAAATAAAAAATGTAATTTTTTAGAAATAATTTTTTGGAGCTAATTTATTTATTAGAAAAATTTAAAAATGGTCAAGCGACTGCTAACTTTAATGTCAAAAAAAATTTTATTTTTTAATTAATAAATTTAATAATTAAATATAAAGCATTAAATTGAAAAAAAAAAAAAAAAATTATTAAAATTAAGTCAGCACAATTGGTAATTTTAAAAATTATTAGAAAAAAAAAGTTGACATAAAATTTTTAAAAATTAAAAATGCAATTTTTTAAAAATAATTTTTTGAAACGAAATTTTTTGTTAAGTAAAATTAAAAAATGATCTATTTTAACGTCATAAAAAATTATCAGTGTTTAGTCTTCAGTTAAAATAAATAAAGATAAAAATTTTAAGTATAAGTTGATATCAAAACACTTAGTTTTATTAATTTAAGGAACTATTTCTTTTAAGAATTAAAATACTTTGTAGAAAAATCCAAGATTTTGTTTCAATTTAAAACAAAATTTTTTAGAAAAACGAGTAAAGTCCAGAGTCCAGGTCCAGAAGGACATCTAAGTCTAGTTTAAGTAGGGCTAATCCACAGATCGGTCCAGGCATCGTTTTCTTCACGGTACATCAAACTTGGGCTATTCCACTCAAGTAAATTAAACTAAAAAGAAATGAGACCACTTTAGTAATGTAAAAAAATAAACATAAGTATATAAAAAAAAAAAAAAAAAAAAAAAAGGCTAAAACACTAAAGAGCTGAAACTCTACAAATACAAACAACCTTTTAGTCCATAAACAAATCAAACAAAACGTTAATCGGCTGCGAGCTGGACATTTTAGTCTCGACAAACTTTTATTTAATAGCTTTTAAATTTAACTATGTTTTACTTATATCATTAATAATAATAATTAATTTATATGATAATAAAATTATCAGAGATTTGAAAATTTTTGATTTTTTGACTCAATAAAAATTATAAGTAAAAAAATTGCACTTACCTAGAATTTTTAAAATTTTTTTTAAAATAATTTTTTTCAATAAAAAAAAATTATAAAAATTTTCCAATATCGGCTAATTTAATTTATATAATAAAATTTTATGTAATTATACAATTAAAATTAATTTAACAGATAATTGATAATTTTAATAACATTTTTAACAAATAAATTATGGCAAAAAAAAATTGATCTGTAGAAATTTTGAAAAATTAAAATTGCAATTTTTTAAAAATAATTTTTCGGAAAAAAATTGTTTGTTAAATAAAATTAAAAAATTGTCAAGAGACTGCTAACTTTAATGTCATAATTATAAATAATTTATCCTGCGAAAAAAAGAAAAAAAAATAGAAAATACGGAGCACCATAATTATTATTATAGATTACTGTAGCAAATAAAAATTTAAAAGGTGTGTACCCCTAAATTGACTCACACTCGTAGTTAATACATAATAATTCATCCCCTCGGACATTCATCTAACACACACGACATCTCGGTGTTCCTGGAGAGAAAGGCGTGCGTGTGTATTCAGCACATTAAATAGGTGTATTTTATCCTTATTATGTGTATATATATATCAATACAAATACTCGGTCTTATCCACATACATATGGATGTATATGGTATACACAGACGTAGGCAGCTGTCACCTTACACCATGGAGAAGGCATGGGGCTGGAGCGGCCATTCTCAACTTATCTCTAGGATCTTTGTAAACATGTCGTGAAATCCGAGTACCTCGCCAGTGGCGTAGACTTTAGTGGGGTGGTTCGAGAAAAAATACTAAAAAGATAAAATAATAATAAAAGTAAGAGAAATGTGGATGTAATGCCGAAGATATTGGGTGTAGATGCAGAGGAGAATTTTTCAGGTGAATGTTGCTGCATATTTTACTCCTAAATTTTTTATAATGTATGAAGAAAACACAGCAGGCTTGGTAATTTTATAAATTTTTCTGCTTTTAAAATCTTTAGTAAATCCTGAAAAAAAAATTTTTTTTATCAAATTTTTATGGCCCCCAACTCGCAGTATGTGTATCAAGTATACGTGTGGCAAGTAGCTTGGTTCGTATATTATGGTTGCACACACCCCACCCAATTTGTGCAATGAGATAGCAAGTTTCCCTGGCAACTAAAATCATCCCTTGATCTTATCATTAAAGCGAATATATTTCTTCTTCTATGAATATCATCTATTATAAATAATAATTAATTGCATACTTGACCGTACATGTAATATAATTATTAAGATGTGCCAAAATTCAATTTCCGTGATGGACTTCTTAAAATTGAAATTTTGAGTTCCACTTTTAAAAGGAGTTGTGTTTGGTAATTTCCTGACATATTTTGAGCGTAAGGGATTTATTTACACGGAAAGAACAAGATGACACTGGATATCATCCCAGATTATACTAAGTGAAAAAAAAATTCAGATAGTAGCTAGTATAATCCAGATTACAATATCATCCAGATATCACGCAGTATAATCTTGATTTTTTTAGCTACTATCTGAAATTTTTTTTCACCACCATTGTCACTGAGTATAATCTGGGATGATATCCAGTGTCATCTTGTTCTTTCCGTGTATCATAAAATTTTTTAACAGGAATTTTTTTTAGGCATTTTTTGCTGAAATTTCAAAATTTGGCCAAACAAAACTCCTGTTAAAAAATAATATGAAAATCAAATAAATCCCTTACGCTCAAAATATGTCAGGAAATGCCCTAGTATTTATACAAAACAACAAACAAAGCATCACTAAAAAGATAATTAATTCTAAAACAAAAAATATAAATTATTAATTATAATCTAATAAATGTAGGATACTTGTTATGATAATAAAATGAGCTGGTGGTTTCAACGGTGGCCAAAGAAGCTAGTTCAGAGGTCGGACAGGACCAGCAGACGCGACCGCAGCATCGTGAAACATAATACACGTTGCATTGCACCAGTACACCAGTTTCAGGGCCTTGTTCAATCAAGCATATGAAGCAGCTTCGAGGATAGCGAAGAATCAGATTACATCTTGAGCCCGGTGCTTATCTTTATTCTTCACGTCATCTCACATCAATTCACTTGATTTCGCATGAATGATGTCCGTGTATGTGAAAGTCTTCGTGTATGTTTATTATTGAATACTTCGGGCACTATTCCAAGAACTTGGGGACAAGCTACTTGTCGGTTAATTTAAAAAATTTTTTATTTTCTTACCGTACAATCTTAAACTTATGTCTTAATCCTTACTTTTATTATTTACTTTTTATTATACTTTTATTTTATTTTATTTATAGTTAAGATATTGTTGGGTTGTTTTTTTTTAGGTGCGGTTATTCATTATCAGTGCCGTTGGTTTGCAGGTATACCGGTGCTTGACCACTTCCGGCTACTTGAATTATTTGAGGCTGAGCTGCTATGGGTGCTGCTTGGATTATTATCGGCTGATTACTGCCACCTTGTACTTGCATTCTTATCATTTGAAGTTGCTGGGGCGTCAATTGAATCTAATAAATAATTTATTTGTTAATAATTCATATTTATTAAGTAGATTTCATAATTCATATTTATGAAGTAGATTTCATAATTAGTAGTTTTAGAAATTTAAAAATTTCAGTAATTTCGAGAAAAATGAGTACAACAGCAAATTTCATAATTAGCATAGCGGAATAAGACTTAATTTTAAGACTTCACATATGATTGGTACTCAAATTGAAGCTTATTTAAAGAGTTTTCAGATGCAATTTACAGAGATTCAATAAGTTATCCCATTCAAAAGTTATTTAAATAAGAAAGTAAAAAAATATGAATTTCACGGTAAAAAATTGTTGCACGGAACTGCACGGAAAAAATTGTTGCTACTTGCGTTCTTTTCAATATTTTCACTCGAGCCGTACATGAAAGTAATTCTTAACACTTCCGTTGAATAACTCAATCGTTTTTTAATTTTTTTTAATTGTTTAATTATAAAAAAATGCAAGAAAGTCAAATTTCGAAAAATATGACTTTTTTTTACTAAAAACTTAATTTTTTAAGATAAATGAAAATGACCTCCGGGGTTCTACTCCGGATATTGCATACTTTAAAAAAAAAAAAAAATGGTCTCATGTCGAGTTTTTCAAAAACTATATTTATCTGTGCAATTGAAATCGTAAATTGCGGATAGTCTTCCTGAATTTCAAAACGCCTCTTTTTCATTTTTTCTCGCTAATGATAATTGAAATTATTATTTTATTTGTTTAATTAATTATAATTTCTGTTCAAAGTGTTCATTAATTTACTAATTAACTACTGTATTAGGTAACTCTAAAACCTTGCTTTATTGTTATTATGTTATTAAACTAAAAGTACTATTTTAATTATATTTTAATACTGTATACTCATATATATAAATGTATTGCTTATTGATGGCCTTATATTCAACTAATTAACTAACTAAATTTCCATGAATCTCAAAAAATCTTCAAACAATAATTAGATGGTACTACAGATGCCTGGGGTCATCTAGACCCCTAATGACCACTACGGGTTAAAATAAAATTTAATTTTTTTTTTAACTTACAGGTATTTGTTGAATGTCACCATTAGGAGTAACAATTTGTTGTACTATTTGAATTCCTCCACTTTGTGAGGATGGTGATTGCGCTTGTTGAAGCTGTATCACTTGTTGATTCGATTGTTGAGGAGCCTATAATTATTATTAACAATTAAGTATTTTAATACTAATTTTTTTACTACTTAATTAATAATATTAATCTAAATAAAAAATATTTAATTCTAAAAATAAATTTTTTTTTTTTTAAGTGATAAACTTTTGATAAATATTTAAGATTGATAAAATATTATTTATAAATTAAAAAAAAAAATATTTGTTTTTTTTTTTTTTATATTTACTTGTTCAACAGAATTACTAATGGGCATATTAATAGTTTGTATTTGCCCAGCAGGCGGTTGTACGATTTGTATCGACTGTGCTCCATTATTTTGCACGGTCTGATTATTAGACTGCTGTTGAGCCAATTGAAAATAATAATGAACTTGATCAGAACTCATCGAAGTGCGTACGACATTATCCTGTGCTTTGCTTTGCTTTAACTCATCTCTCGGTACAATGTCGATCAGAAAGTCAAATTGATCGTACTTAGTGATGGCCATTGCAATGTCATTTCTCTGCAATGTACGTCTTTTATTGTCCTCCGTGTGAATCCACGCTCTCAGGGTTAATTCGTGGATAAATATTTCAGCAGCTTTTGAGAATAACATTGGAGCTTCAGCACTTATCATTTTCACGTCACCGTCTAGCTTCATTATTTTTTTTATCCTCGCTAACGGCAATGATTGTGTCTTCAGGTCATTCTGTAATTATTTTAATACATACATAATTATTTTTTTTTCATTTAAAAAGAAGAGAAAAAAAAATCTTACACTAGTTATTTTTTTTATTTCTTCAGCAACTTTTGGCCAAAATGTCGTTAATGCCTGCTGCGCTTCTGAACTTCCTGGAGATGATATTTGTAAGTCTCCATTAGAGTCTCCTTCTACTTCGCTGTCTTGATTTCTATTAAAAAAAAAAAAAAATTAATTAATATTTGATAAAGAAAAATATTTTAGAATTAAAAAATTTTAAAAATTTAAAACAATAATAATATTAAAGTAATTGTCAACAATTAAAAAATAAATAAAAATAAAATACTTTGTTAAATCACATATGTAACAAAACAATAATAAATAACAAACCCACTGACAATATAACCTAAAAGTAAGTGAGACAAATGTTGGAACTTACGCATTGACAAAGAATAAAGACATCTTGGTTTATTTACTCTCCAACAAAAAATATTAAAATCAAAATATTATTATGGATCATTAAAAATAAAATTGATAAATGAATAAGCTTGGGCCAAATATTTGCGCCGGAAATTTCGCCAATCGCAGTCTCTCAATCACACTCAATCAGATTACAGTATAAAGCTTTAAGATCTGTTTCAATCACGTGCGTGAATAAAAACATAAAAACTCCGTGTAATTTAAATGTCCTAGTTACTGAAGTTATTAAAATAAATCACTAAAAAACTAAAATAAATTACCTAATAATGTTTATGGGTTTTTGCAGTAACAAAATCAATTATTCTATCGTATTTTTATTTATTTATCATGAAAATCAGCCCAAGTCGCGCGTCGTTCGAGATGTCGCTTATATGTAACCTTTATTTATTATTTATCATTCATTATTTTTTTGCACAAAACCTGTAATTTAGTTTACCACATACTTAATCGGGGGAAAAAAAAAATATAATACTAATGTTAGCCGACGTTCAAAAATTTTTCTATTTTTTTCAACAATTAAATTGCAAGTTAAGAAATACTTTAAAAAAATTTCACGTATAATTTTTTAAATTTTCTACATGTGAAATTTTTTCTTTTAATTTTATTGTGACAAATTTTTCAATAAAGATAATGATAAATATTTTCAGATATGTCAGCTAATTTAATTTTCATAAAAAAAAATTCTTTAAAAAATAAAGGAAGCAAACAAACTTATTATTTTATAATATCATTATTCTCCTTTTAATAATAAATAATAATAAAGTTAGATGACATTAAAATTTGAATTTTTTATTTTTTTTAATTTCTACATGTCAATTTTTTATGTCATATAATTTATTATAAAATCTTAAAAATGTTAAATATATGCTAAATTAATTTTCATTTAAGTTAGCTGACATTTTTAATTTTGTTTAATTTATTAAATTTGAAGTAAAAAATATTTTTTTAAATTGCATTTACAGTTTTTCAAATTTTTTACAAGTGAAATTTTTTTTTAATTTTGTCAATAAAAAAAATTCTAAAAATTTTTAAATGTCGGCTAACTTTATTGTCATTTTTTAAAAAATATTTTTATTTCTCTATATACACAAAAATATGTCTACTACTTTTTATTTTACAATTTTTCTAAGAAAATTTATAGATAATAATTTAAAAACTTAACTTATACAAATTTTCATTAAAAATTTATTTTTACATAGTTAAAAATTTAAAAACAAAATTTTTCATAAAATTAATTAGGCATCGCTTTAAAACTACTGAGTTTTTGAAAAACGAAATTCAAAATTTCCTTTGATGTAGGTATATCGGATGACGTATTGATTCGTATCATTTCTCCAAATTCTCTGATATAATAATCAAGTTCTGATTCATTAGCAGGATCTTTCATTGACATGTATTTATTTGTCAACTGTGACAGTTTTAGCAGGTCAGAACTGAATTCTTCATCGAGGTCGAACAGTTCTAGGGCTGGCGGTTGAAGTTCTTGGAAACTTGGTGGGAAAACCTAATAATTTTATAAATATAATTTGTTAATTTTTCTTTAAGCCCTTAAACTTATGTTGATAGACATTAAAAATTTTTTTTTAATTTTGTAGCAATGATATAATGAAAAAAATTTATGAAAATTAATTTAACAGATATTTAAAATTTTTCTAATGAATAAATTACTGACATTTTGAAATTTTAATAAATTAAAAATGCAATTTTTTAGAAATAATTTTTCAGAACAAATTTTTTTGTTAACTAAAATTTAAAAATGGTCAAATGACAGCTAACTTCAATATCATACAAAATTTTCAAAAGTGAAAATTTATAAAAATTATTAGAAGCATTTTTTTTTAATGAAATTGATTTAAAAAAATTTTAATTACCGAAGCTTGAGTTGGAGGTAGCGGAGTTTCAAAGTGTGGTTTGATTAATGTTAATGGTTCATGTTTAACTCCTAAAAGTTGATACGCACTAATACACTCTGGTATCATTGACAAGTTGATTGAATAAAAATGATGCTTAAATAATTTTGTGTATTCTCGAGGAATATCAATAGTATCTAGGTCTTGAGTACAAACTTTTGGTTCGTCTGCTAATTGTGTTATATCTGGTACAAAATTATATTCTGAGTACTGTAATAAAATAATTAATTATTAAATTATTAAATTGCAATTTATAAATAAATAAAGGACATTATCCTTACATCAATGTCATCAAAATGATATTCTTTAGAAAACTGTTCTTTGGATTTAAAAAAATCAAAAATCATTTCTCTCAAAGCATCATTATGTTCCTTTTCTATGTAAGAGTCTGTTAGTAATCTCGATGAGCCGAGTACTACTAACTTTCCAGAACTTGTTGGTGAAGAATAATAGGCGCAAATAGGTCTGTTGGTAGGTATTGCCATAGTCCCACTTGACAATGCAACTACTGAAGGCTGGACGACGTTCAATGTTGCTCCGTATGGATAAATAAAATTCATATTACTAAAAAAACAAATTATTGTAATGTATAATTATTAATTAGAATAATTTTTATCAATGCTCACACAACTTCATCACGATTTTTGACAAATCGCGATTTATTCGATAAGCCTTGAGATATTGTACATTCTTTCGGGTGTAATGTACGACTATAATTAATTCTTATGACACTATCTGTAATGAAAATAATTAATATACATTAAATGTACAATTTTATAAATTAAAAATAAAACTGTACTTACCATTATTAACCATTATTCCAAATTCTTCAAGTAAAAAATTAATATTTGTATTAAATTTATTTTCTCCACCTTCACCTAGCATCACCAAAACATTTTTCCCATTATTTATAAACCCCCTTATAGAATCCATTTCTAATTCTGTAAACTTATTCCTTGGTTCTGGTAATACTAATAAATCTCCACTAGATAAAGATTCTTCAGACAATACTTCATTGTTTCTGAAAAAAAAAAAAAAAATTAATTAATTAAATGAATAATAATAAAGTTAGACGACATTTTTGATTTTTTTATTTTACATAATTTATTAAATTATAACTAAAAAATATTTTTAAAAAATTGCACTGATAGTTTTTGAAGTTTTTAACTAATGAAAAAAATTTTTTTGTAATTTTTTAATAAAAAAATCATAAAAGTTTTTAGATGTCGGCTAAATTTTATATTCATATTAAATGACTATTCTTGAAAAATTTTTATGGAAATTAATTTAACAAATATTTAATAATTTTAACAATTTTGGTGTCAAATAAATTATGGCAAAAAAAAATTGATATAAAAATTTTTAAAAATTAAAAATGCAATTTTTTATGACACTGAAGTCAGCAGACGTCTAAAAATTTTTGATTTTTTTTTAAATTAAATTACAAATAAAAAAAGATTTATAAAAAATTGCACTTGTAATTTTTCAAGTTTTTTACATGTGAAATTTTTTTTTTTAATTGTTTAATTGAAATTTTTTCAATAAAAAAATTTTTTAATTTCGGCTAACTTAATTTTCATAATTTTTTAACAACAATTTTTTGAGCAAAATTATTTATTAAATAAAATCAAAAAAGTGGTCAAGTGACTGCTAACTGTAATGTCATAAATTTTTTAATAAAAAAAAAAACTTACTCCAAAAATTTCCATTTTGGTTTTAATTTTCTCTGCAATACTTTAAATTCATCATTTAAACGTCTTTCATTTTTGGAAGAATCAAAAATTATCAATTGAGAATCATTATCATTACTAATTATTGAACTCATTTTACCCACTTATAGTTTATAACTTTATGTCATAAATTTTGACAGATAAATGTTGTACATTTTGGTTGCCAAGGGAGACCAATAAATATCCATGTTAAATAATGTAAATTTAGTGGTTGAATTTCCACCAATTAAAACTTTGTGTTTTTGTTGCGCGCGCCTATATATACTCTCACAAAAACAGAAAAACATTAGAGAGAAGGTAGATTTTCCTTAGGTTAGGTTAAAACCATTTCATTATTATTTGTTTTATTATTTTTTACTCTCGTATTATTTAATTAATAATTATAATGGCAGAAAAATTGAGAAGATATGAAAAAATTGATTTTTTGGGAGAAGGACAGGTTAGTATCATAATCATTATTAATTTATATATATTTTTCTTTATAAGTAAATATAAACATTTAACCTAATATTTAATATTTATTTTATTATTATTAACATTTAATTTATTGTATTGTTACAGTTTGCTACAGTATACAAAGCAAAAGATACTGAAACGGATCAAATAGTTGCAGTAAAAAAGGTTTGTTTAATTGATAAAAATAAGTCACATGTTTTTTAAAAAATTTCCTTACCCGACACTGTAATCAATATACTTGAAAGACTTTTATTTTTTTTTTATATGAAAATTATATCAGTCGACATCTAAAAGTGTTGAGAATTTTTTTATTGAAAAAAATTATTAAAGAAAAAATTCAACATGTAGAAAATTTGAAAAATTCTAAGCTCAATTTTTTTTCAAACTTTTTTACTTAGGTATAATTTTAATGTCATTTTTTTTTTTTTTTTATTTTAAATAAAATAAGTTTAGAAAATTACTCAAAAAAATTGCATGTATAATTTTTTAAAGCTTCTAAATATGAAATTTTTTAAATAAATTTTTCTTGCTATGATTTATTTGTTGAAAAAATTATCAAATTTTATTTTTATAAAAATTTTTTACAAGCATTATTAATTTTTCAGATAAAAGTAGCCAGCAGAGCTGAAGCTCGCGATGGTATAAACCGAACAGCATTAAGAGAAATAAAATTACTTCAAGATTTAAAGCACGATAACATTATCGGCTTACTAGGTATTAATTGATTTGACCTTTTATTAATTAACCAAAAACTCAACATGTAATTATCATAATTTCACAGATGTGTTTGGTTACAAGTCAAACGTGTCGCTGGTCTTCGACTTCATGGACACCGATTTAGAAATAATAATAAAGGATTCAAGTATTGTATTTACAATATCTCACATAAAGTCTTATATGATCCAAACTTTACAAGGATTAGATTACTTACACTGCAACTGGATTCTCCACCGTGATTTGAAGCCCAATAATTTATTAGTAAATCAAAAAGGAATTTTAAAGATAGGTGATTTTGGTCTGGCTAAATTCTTTGGATCCCCGAATAGAATAAACACTCACCAAGTTGTAACCAGGTGGTACCGAGCTCCTGAGCTGCTCTATGGGGCAAGATTGTATGGAACTGGAGTCGATATGTGGGCGGTTGGTTGTATTTTAGCTGAATTATTGTTGCGTAATCCATTTTTACCTGGAGAGTCTGATTTAGATCAATTAACTAGAATATTTCAGGTAATTTTTATTAATTATTAATATTATTATTGACTCTGAATTTTAAAGACATCTATAAAAATTAATTTAGCAGATATTTAATAATTTTTTTTAACAAATAAATGATGACAAAAAAAAATTGACATTTAGAAATTTTTAAAAATTAAAAATGCAATTTTTTTAAAAATAAAGTGAAGGTTAAATTTAATGTCATCAGACATCTAAAAATTTTTTAGATTTCAAAAATTGAAAAAAAATTTTAAGTGTGAATTTTTTATAATTGGTTAATTTTAAAAATTTAAAGAATTGTCAGATATCTGTTAATTTTATCATAATTAATTATGATTGTGTTATGTAAAGAAATTTTTCTTTACATATTTATTAACTATAAAAATCGAGTATGATTTTATTTAAATTTTAACGATTGTAAAAGATAATTCGAGTGCGGTCATTAAGTGTCTCGTTCGATTTTTGCTAAAGGCCCAGGGAAATTTCGGTAATTAGTCTGAGGGCCGAGGTATATTTAAGAGATTAAATTGATGAATGGGAGTTTTGTTATACGTAAGCAAACTCACTTATACTTAAAATAAGAAATACTTAAAGATAAAGAACATTAGATAAAAAGATTTATTTTAAACCAAAAGATTTTAGAATAATTTGATTACAAAATTTTAGTGGATATATTTTAAATTATTAATATTTGTGAATTTGGTAATATTGTAAAATCGTTATATGAAAGAAAAGTTAACTTCAATCACTGTGTAATAATTGTAACTATTGTAAATTAACTAATGATATTAATTTTTGATTTAAACAATATATGTATTAAAATTATTCAACTACATCAATTTATTCAAACAAACTTATCATTCTCAATAAACTAAAACTCGGAAGTTCCCGGTCTATTAGCCTAACACGCTAGGACCAAATACTTAAACACATTAAATATTTTAAATGTAAAATTAATTAATTACCCTAAATTAAATATTTTTTACATAACAATTGATTCTGACATGCAATTTTATTTAAAAATATTTATTATTACAGACCCTAGGAACGCCTACAGAAGAAACTTGGCCAGGAATGACTGAACTAACAGATTTCATCCAATTCAAACCTTTTATCGGAATACCTTTCTCAGACATTTTCACAGCAGTCGGTGCAGATCTTCTAGATTTAATTTCCAGTTTATTACGTATCAACCCAAGCGAGAGATGTACCTGCAGCCAGGCACTGCAAATGCCCTTTTTCAGCAATAAACCTGCACCAACTCCTGGGGACAAATTACCACTGCCTATAAGTGTCAGAAGACTTAAAGAAAATCGACCAAGTCTCAAGCGTAAACTACTCGAAAATATCGATGGAGGAACTCTAGCCAAACGTTTACAATTTTAATCTCTTATAAATAATTATATAGAGAAGTTTGAAATTTATTAATCATTTAAATATTTTGAGTGAATGTTGTGTGAATGAATAGCTTAATTAAATAAAAAATAATGAAGTTTTATTTTTTATATATTTAAATAATTATTTTTTAGTCATAAATAATTATAATTTTTTTGTATATTTAATAAAAAATAAATAATTTAGAAAATTAAATTTAATATTTTAAATATCACGTGACTTTGACACTTCCTGTAAATTATCACACACATGTACAGTATGTCAAAATTGTATATATATATATATATATTTGTGTATACTCAATGTACACAAACACGAAATAAAACCAACCAGTTGCGAATAGCCCTAAGACCTTTTAATAATAACAAAGTAGTTGAACAATATATTAAGTTTTAAATATTTAATTATTAGTGAACAATTAAAAAAAAAAAAATGAATGTTGTGACAGCTATTAAACATTACATTACTCGAATGACTGAAGAAAGTGGACCGGGTATGAAAGTTCTTTTAATGGATAAACAAACGGTAATTTTATTTTTATATTATTGGTTATAGTAAAAATTTTTTATTAATTATGAATAATATTAAAGTTAGCCGAAATTTTTTTTTATTTATTAAATTGGAACAAAAAAATATGACATTAAAATTAGCAGTCACTTGATCATTTTTTAATTTTATTTAATAAATAAATTTGTTCAAAAAAATTTTTTTTTGTCATAATTTATTTATTAAAAAAATTTTAAAAATTGCCAAATATCTCCTAAATAAATTTTTTTTTTTTTTTTTTTTTTTTTTTTTTTTTTTTTCATTATTGCTTTGTCACAAAAATAAAAAAAAATTGACAGATGTCAGCTGACTTTAATATTTTTAATAATGAGAATTGATAAATAATCAGTAGGAGAATTTTGGTACTGATTAGAATTTATAATTTATAATCATAAATAAATTTTTATTTTTATTATAGATAAGTATTGTCAGTTTGGTGTACAGTCATTCGGAAATCTTGATGAAAGAAGTGTATCTTTTTGATAAAATAGACGCACAAGTACGTGGTGAAGAGCTTAGACATTTAAAATGTATTGTTTTTATCAGACCAACCAAAGAGAATGTTGCTTTACTTTGCAATGAATTAAGAAATCCAAAGTATGGAATTTATTATATTTGTAAGTAGCTTTTTATTTTTTTTTGAGCACTATTTTAAATTAATTTATAGTAATCGTCATTATTTAATCTATAGATTTTAGTAATATCATTCCAAAAGCTGATATTAAATTATTAGCTGAAAGTGACGAGCAAGAAGTTGTCAGAGAAGTGCAAGAGTATTATGCTGATTACTTAGCGATTAATCCACACTTATTTTCAATTGGAATAAATTCATGTGCTGAAGGTATAAAAATGACATTAAAATTAGCAGTCGCACTTGACAATTTTTTAATTTTAATTTTAAATGAATTTGTTAAAAAAAAATTGGATTTAAAATTTTTTTAAATTTCTACATATCAATTTTTTACTAAGATTAGAATTATTTTTAAAAAATTGAATTTTTCATTTCTACATGTCAATTTTTTTCCTAAATTTTTCTTGCATTAATTTATTTGTCACTAAAATTATAAAATTATTGTATATATTACTTAAAAATATTTTAATTAATTATTTTAAAATAAATGACAGGTCTTACATGGAATCCAGTGAATTTACATCGCTCTTGCGAAGGAATTATATCAGTTTTACTTTCTCTAAAAAAATGTCCTTACATTCGTTACCAAAGTAGTTCAGATATGGCCAAAAGACTGTCTGAAAAAATACGTGAAGTACTAATAAAAGAATCTAATTCATTTAAATTTAGACAGGAGTCAGATCCGCTTTTATTGATACTCGACAGACGAGATGATCCAGTTACTCCATTGTTAAATCAATGGACTTATCAAGCTATGGTTCATGAACTTTTAGGTATTAATAACAATCGTGTTGACTTGTCCCATATACAAGGAATTTCTAAAGAGTTACAAGAAGTTGTGCTTAGTGCTGAACATGATGAATTTTATGCTGAGGTAATTTTTAGTCGATTATCACGTAGAAAAATTTTTATTTTATTTAAAAAAATTTTTTTTTAAAAGTTGCATTTATAATTTTTAAAATTTTCTACGTCAATACTTTTTTCTGATTTTTTCTTAAAAAAATTATTAAATATCTGCTAAATTAATTTTTATTAAAAATCTAATAGTAATAATTTATTTTTTTACAGGCTATGTATTTAAATTTTGGTGAAATTGGGCAAACAATAAAAGAATTAATGGAAGATTTTCAAAGAAAAGCTAAAAAACATCAAAAAGTTGAAAGTATTGCAGATATGAAAAATTTTGTTGAAGCTTATCCATTGTTTAAAAAAATGTCTGGTACTGTTTCTAAGCATGTAACAGTTGTTGGTGAGCTCTCTAATTTAGTTGGTAATCATAATTTATTAGAAGTTTCGGAGACTGAACAAGAATTATCCTGTCAAAATGAACATTCCAATCAAGTATGTACTGAAAATTAATTTTATATTAAATAAATAATTAAATTTATTTTAAATTAATTTATAAAATAATAATAAACTTAATTACAGCTACAAAAAATAAAGAAATTATTAAACAATCCAAAAGTACGTGATATTGATGCGACGAGATTAGTGATGCTGTATGCATTGCATTATGAAAAGCACACAAATAATGAAATAGGAACATTAGTTGAAATGTTAAAAAAACGAGAAGTTCCTGAAAAATATACAAAAGTAATTATTTTATTAATTAAAATTTATTTCAATATTTATAAACAACAAAATTAATATCTTTGCATAAAATAGACGTTTGAGTATTGAACACGCTTTAACAGTAAATAAATTAAATTATTTTTTTTTTTAGCTTGTCTACAGTATTTTAGAGTACAGTGGAATAAATCAAAGGCAGAGTAATTTATTTGACCGTGAAGCTGTTGCGAAGATAACTAAAAAATTATTCAAGGGTCTGAGCGGTGTTGAGAATATATACACACAACACAATCCGCTGCTCAGTGAAACTCTGGAAGATCTCATAAAAGGAAAATTAAATACTCAAACTTTTCCTTATTTAGGACAAATGACCATGACTAAAAGGTAAATTTTTTTTTTATAAAATTAATTATAAACTTTGAATTTAAATTTACACATTTGTTACAGGATTCAAGATGTAATTGTATTTATAATTGGTGGCGCGACTTATGAAGAAAGTTTGGCAGTACATAATTTAAATAAACAAAATCCGAGTGTAAAAATAATACTAGGAGGCACAACGGTTCATAATTTTGAAAGTTTTTGCAATGAAATAATATCAGCGACTACTGGAATTGTACCGAGATATAGATCTCGAAATAATTAAAACTTTAATTAAACATAGATTAGATTTTATATATTGCTAATTAACTTAAAAAAGAAGAATATATAATATTTATCATTCCTAAAATAGGCTATTTATATTTATATTTTTCTGACGTGAAATTATCGCTGTAAAATTATTTACTCAAAAATATCTATAATAAACAAACACGTCTTATTTTTTGTTTACTTGTTTTTTAATGTTTTAATTTTCTTTTTCACTTTTATTCAATCTATTTAAAATTTCACAATTTAATCATATTCTATATCTTCTGTTTCCAAAAAATAGTCATCACCATCAAAATTTTCATCATCATTTGTCGTGACCTAGAACAAATATTTTAATTGATTATTTACTTAAAAAAATTTTTAATGTTTATTAATTAATTTTTAATTATATTTACAATTTTTGTTAACCGGGAAATGAAGTAAGGCAATAAAAATATTAATATAAATAATTAAAATACTTTTATCTGCTTTTTTATTTATTTTACAAATTATCAATTCCTATTACTTACGTTTTTTTTTCTTTTTAGGTATTTTAATAAACTTCTTTCGTCTTACTAAAAATATAAGAACCTACAAATAATATCAATTGCTACACAAATATTTGTATTTCAAAAAATCTAATAAAATTTTTTAAATTTTAACAAAAAAATTTATTTTTATTTTTATTTTAATTTAAAATAATGGAAATTAATAAATAAAACAAAAAATTAAAAATAATTACCTCAACTATACCGGTGAAAATAGCATAAGAAATCATAGCAAAGGTCACAAACACTCCAGCTAATATTTTGTCCCTCTTATTATTCGGAAATTCAGTATCAACTTCAACTTTGTGTTTCTTTTCATTCTCCTTGGCCTTTATTTTTTCATACTCTTGGTAGTCATATTCAAAGTAACGTTGTGATATCCGTGATATAAATTTACTGAGATTTGTGCAAGCTTTCAGGTGATTTTGTAAAGCTGGATTTGGCAGTGGCGCTTTTAATAATGGAGCTAGATATGCGTATATCAATGCGTCTAACGAAGTTGGATTTGGACCAAAAAAATATTCCGAGTCTCCTAGCCTTGTTGACAGCAGAGTTATGCATTTTTGTGCATCGGAATATACTTTGCTTTCAATTACAGTCATTACATCTTCGTTTATGTACAGCGCTTCCATCAAAGTTCGAGCATGTTTTTCGTACTTTGATGGATAGTGAAAATTAAACGGAAATGGTATCGCTTTCGCATACCAAGGTCTTATTAAGTCATTAAAATTTTTTTGGTCTAACCACCTGAAAGAAAAAAAATTTTTAATTAACTAAATAAAAATACTATAATACTGAAATTTTCATAAAAAAAATTAATGTGGCAGATATTAATTTAATTTTAAGAATTTTTTAAAAAATAATTATATTAAACTAATATTTTTTTTAAATCAAATTAAAAAATTGTCAAATGACTGCTAACTTTAACTTAATGTCATAAAATTATGAAAATTAAGTTAGTCGACATCTAAAAATTAAAAAAAATTTTTTTTTATTGAAAAAATTATTTTAAAAAAATAAAAAAAAAATTTTCATTTGTAAAAAACTTGGAAAACTATAAGTCCAATTTTTAACAAATGTTTTTTTGTTATAATTTAATAAGTTAAAAAAAATTTTTAAATTTAAAACATCGGCTAACTTTGGTATTCTCATAAAATTATCATACATTTAACAATTTTTGATTTATTTAATCAATAAAAATTATAAGTAAAAAAATATTTTTAGAAAAATTGAACTTGAAATTTTTTTAATTTTCTACATCTCAAATTTTTTTTTTTAATAAAAAAAAAAATGGCTTATTTAATTTTTATAAAATAGTAATTAAATGTAAATGATGCAATACTTGATAATAATTAATAATAGATAAATAAATAAAAATTACCAGACATATTGAAGAGCTGGGTAAAGCTTTTCTTTCAACAAATATTCATATGACACAATATCAGCTCGTTCTTTGGAGCTCAATGAATTATCTGGAGAGTAATTTTTCTCTTTTAAAAAATTAATTATCTGTGGAACAGAGTCTATTGCATTAGAACCATTTCGAAGAACTGGAAAATGTCCATGTGGTGTTCGGAAGGGATTACATATCGGATTTACTTTTATTGGAGCATTGCTAAATTTTGCATAGGCCTGAAAATAATATTTATAGATTAATAATTGAAAATTAGTTTTTTTTTTTTTTTTTTTTATAATAATTTTAAATTATTCTTACCAAGATTTGCAAACAACGAATGCCAACTGATGGCAATCCCCAGTCACCTTTCCATACATCCAACTGAAACGTCTCAGTTGAACTCATTCTCATAAAATAAAATCGAAATAATAGTTAGGCATTTATAATTACAATTATCGTATTTTTATACGCGTAAGATTATTATTAATGGATTTAATTAATCTGTCAATACCGACAAAATAATAATAAACGCATGATAAATAACCTAGAAAATTTTTTTTTTTATTATTGAAAATTTAGAAGAGGCTTGAGCGGCAAGCTCCTCTGCCGTTCATTTAATAAACTATAAGAACTTACATATCAAAGCTCCCTCTTACGACTAGGTACGTATTAATAAAAACAATGAAAATTAAATTAGCCGAAATCTGAAAATTTTTATGATTATTTTTATTGCAAAAATTGTTACAATAAAATTAAAAGAAAAAATTTCACGTGTGAAAATTAAAAAAAAATATTAGTGGAAATTTTTAAAAGAAAAAATTTTTTTTATTATAATTGATTTTTAATTTTTTTAAATTTCTACATGTCAATTTTTTTCTTGCAATAATTTATTTCTTAAATAAATTCTAAAAATTATCAAATATCTTCTACTTGAATTTTCATTTTTTTTTATAAATATTTCATAATTTTTTTCGCTAAGTATATAAAATTAAATATTCTTATCAATAAATTAATTTTATAAAAAATGTACCATTAAAAAAAGTTTATTTTTATCAATAACTTAAATATATAATTGATATCAATGATTTATGTGATTGAGCTGTCAAGTATAAAAGTCGAACTTATTTTAAAAAAATTATTTATGAATTTTAATTTTAATAATATGGACAATTGATTAATTAGTAATAAAAAATTAAGAACGTAATGCTTCTTGAAGTTTCTTCCTGGCAATAGCAACTCGGTCTTCTTGCTTTTTAATATCTTCGTCAGCTATCGTTACCGCCTGTAATTAAATAATAATAATAATAATGATGATGTTAATTAACATGAAATTACTTGTTATATAAAAACAATAAAATGTGCAAATGTTTAGTAGAATGAATGTTTAATCAAAACTTGTAATGAAAATATTAGTTAGTTTATTTAAAAAAATAAGTATGAACTTTAGAAACACCAAACACAAATGATAAACTATATAGAATGAAAAAAAATTAATAGGTAAATATTTTTATGAAAATTTCAATTTTTTAACCTGCACGAGAGGTTGATCAGGATTTAAAAATACTCCTGGATTTTTTTCTAATGAAGTTTTGGAGCCGGTTTGTCCGGTGACTGGTTGGGAAGACATGTGGAGAGCTGTTGCTACACTTTGAAGAAGAGTTTCTTCGGTTATGTAAGGTCCAACGGGTTTTAGGGTTTTAGGTAAATCCATTCCGTTGAATTCATAACCATCTGGATCACATGCTCTTAAACCTTCCAATCGTTTTTCCCAGAATAACTGAAAATAGTTATTAATTTTTAATTATAATCGACAGAGTGTAAAATAAAAAATTATATAAAATTAATTTAGCATATTTTTAAGAATTTTATAATAAATATATGATGTTAAAAAAAAAATTGACATGTAGAAGTTTTATAAAATAAAAAATTCAATTTCTTGGAACAAATTTTTTTGTTAAATAAAATTAAAAAATTGTCAAATGCTAATTTTAATGCAATAAATTATGGAATGTAATTAAATTAAAGAAATTTATTATTTTACCTGTTTAGGTTTGTCTTGAGAACAATATTTGCTGTCAGTTTTATCAGTTCCTTCCTTAAAAAAAAAAAAATTGAATTATTTTCTATTTGATATTTCAGTATTTTTTTTTTATTGATATAACTAAACAATACAAACTTGTTTTGGTTTATCCTGAGCACCATGCTTGACATCTTTGCTGACTTTCCTGTCTTGTGTTTTATAAATCGTAACTGGTTGTTTGAAAATAGACGCTGTTTGTCTTATTGGAGGTACTAGTGATGCATCGTTCCTTACTCCTCGACTAAAAAAAATAAACAAAACATTAATTTTCTACAAAATAAAAAGTAACAATAACTGTATTATTCCAATTACTGTCAACAGTATAAAAAAAATAACCTATAATAGTAAACATCAACTTTTCCTGATGATGGAGGTAGTGGATTTGAATTTTTTCGTGGAATTTCGTCCCGAGTCGGCCAATTTGTTGGCAAAGTCGAGGAATATTTCTTTTTATCTATTGACATATTCATTTTTTATGAATTTTATTATTATTAATATGATATAAATATAAATAAATACTATTGTATACACAAAACCATATAAGATAATTTATACTATAGTATGTTAGCACACAGCACTTAGACTAAATAATTAAGATGCTTTCGTAGACTATAGTAAACCGATAAAATTCCTTGATTTGAGTTGTAGTAAACTCCCACTATCGCTGACGCTACTGCGCATGCGCACAATATTTTTAACTACTTGTCAAATTTTATAAAAAATTAATAATTAAAAAAAAAAAAATTGATAATTTTTTTAACAAAAAAAATTAAATTTATTTTGTGACTATTGTCATTTTTTTATTTTAAAATTTATTTACAATGTACAAAAATATTATTTTTTATAAATTAATTAATAGCAACAACAACAGGTGCTTCATCGAATTCTTCTTGTTGCAAATTAGAAAAATCCCAGGAAAATTGATTAGTAAGCCGCACTTGTAACCTCGCAGCTTCGGATTTCAGCCGTCCTTCGATTTCTGGATTTATCTCAATCGTTGCAAATAATTTTCTTAAATGATAATAAACAAAGTTATTATCCGCGACAATATCGCAAAGTATATCTTCAGGGGCATGAGATAATTGAATTTCAATTGTGTGTAAAAAGTCGACGTAAATACTTCGACGTGAAGAGATTGCTTTTTCGGCACCGCAAATTAAAGCAATAAGTTTTTTCCAATGCTCAAACGCTTCGAAGCTTTGGCCGATCAGAAAGCAGACGAACGCTAATTGTAACTCTCCAATTATCTCTGACTGGCTGTAAATAAAACAAATTAATTAAACATCTATTTTTTTTTATATTCAACTAGTAGTCCGCCCTGGCTTTGCACAGGTATTTAACAAAAATTTCAAAATCAATCATAATATAAGATAGCCTATGTCACCCGGGGATAGCATAGCTTCCCAACAGTGAAAAAATTTTTTAAATCGGTTCAATAGTTTCGGAGCCTATTCAATGCAAACAAACAAACAAACAAACAATCAAATCTTTCTTCTTTGTAATATTAGTAGTATAGATTATTAAAAAATTAAAAGACTCACTCTTTCATTTTTTGTATAGTCGAACTGAGAGCATATGATGAATCCAAAGAGTACTCAGTTATCTCAGCAGGTGTTGCGTCATCTGGATAATTTCTTTCTGGGACCTCTGTAAATCTAAGCTCTGTACCTTTTTTTGGTTTTAAATTTGGTAAAAGCAATTCTTCTTTAGCTTCTACTGAAAGTCCGCTCTCTCTTCGTCGCAGTTGAGTTTTATTACTTTTTTTCAAGCGCATTTCATTGTCATAATTTTCTAACTCTAATGCGGATCGGACGTAACTAAATAAGAAGAAAAATTAATTAGTTTAATAATCATTAATTTAATTGATAGAATCTTTTTTTCTTACCCAGTTAGAGGCTGACATCTTTCTAAAATATTATCGCTGATTTTACTAGTTAATTCTTTCCACTGATTAAGTACATCGTAAGGATAAGGACCCAAAAATTTATCCAGTTCTTTGTGATTGTTTTTTATCCTTTCTATTACTTCTTCTTCAATCGCTGAAAATCAGTAATAATAAAATAATATTTTTAAAAATAAGGTATAAAAATATTTTAATGTAATTGATAATTACATTGAGAACTCATGTCGGTTTCTTTATTATCCCACCGCTTCACTATGAAGTCTTGCTCTTTGAAAATATGAAAAAATCCAACTCTGGGGGCTGATTCATTGAATTCATCTTTAGCACTAAAAAAATATTAATTAGATACATTAATTAATTAAATATTCGATTATTGTTAGTTAAATTGATGGACACAGTTACAATTATTTTATTAATTTACCTGTAATGTATAAAATGTAATCCAGGAGGTATCATTTTTATACCTTTAAAATTACTCCCTGTAGTCCAGGACTTTAAATCTATTCCAAAGTCTGTTCCTGGGGGCATGTCCATTACAACTAATGTACCTCCTTTTTTAAATAATACTTTAGCGACTTCTTGAGTCATTTCACAGGGTTCTTTGCTCGCCATATTTATTTATTTATTTATTTATTAATAATTAATAAATAGTATAGCAGCTAGATTCTTTAGAGTTAAAAATCTGAAAAATAAATTGATAAAAAAATTAAACAAGTGCATAAAAGTTGAAAAAAGATGAATAATACTTATATTAATTATTAAAACCTGGTAATAAATTAATAAATTATTATTACTTGTATTTAATATTGACAATTAAAATTTATTATTTTATGGCAGCTGATTTTATTTATTTCCAGATTTTGAGGTTAGCAAAATTACTAATGTTGTGATGATTGAACACAACGCTCTCTGTACATACACTAATATAAAATTACATACAGCAGATGGCTTCAATAATAATAGCGGGAAAAACCCAGTAAGATTTAAAACATATATGTATTTTTATTTGTAAAATAGAATCAGTAAGAAAAAAATTAGAATTTTTTAAATGTTATAAACTTTTCTATGTTAAGTTCTATTGTTAAGTATGGGAATTTTTCTATCATAAATTTTAGGGTATGGACGAATTTATAAGGAAAAACCTACAAAAACTTTTAGTACTGTCCAGTTTGTTTAGACATGCTGAGAAAAAAAATTTCTTTGTTAAAATAAACTCACGTTAATTGTAATGGTCACTTAGAATAAGATGCCGAACGTTTTGGAATACTCTATATAATATTGGGACAAAACCAGAGATCTTTATTTATAACTTTTTTTATTGTCATAATCCTTTAAGTATCTTATTTTCTAAAACGTTCGCTAAAAAAAAAGGGATTACTCGAGTACCAAAAAATAAGTCATAAAAACCATACATCCATGCGGGTTGCATACAACCTGGGAATGTCAAGAATCGACATGACGGTCATTTCAGCATAGTCCCGATAAATAATTTTTTTCTGTAAAAAATATGCTTATTTTAATGATACTGAAGTTATCTGACAGCTGTCAATTTCAGATGAAACTAAAATTAGCCGACAGTAAAATATTTTTATTGTTTTTTTTTTTATTAATTAAATTAGCAATAAAAAAATATTTTTAAAAAATTGCACGTAGAGTTTTTCAAATTTTTTATATGTGCAATTTTTTCTTTCAATTTTTTTGTAATAATTTTATTAATAAAAAAAATTCTAAAAATTGTCAGCTGTCTGCTAATTTTATTTACATCAATTTCAGTGTTATTAATTTTACTGACATAACTATTTATTGATTGATGAGAAAAGAAAATAATTTGATCTAATTTATATTTTACAAAAATATTAACATGAAAAAATATGTTTATATTTAAAAAACTTTTTTTTCAATTTTAGGTTACAAGCAGTTCAAGTTAATGATACTGAAGTTAGCTGACAACTGTCAATTTTTTTAGTTTTTACAACAAATCAATTACAATAAAAAAATACTTCCAAAAATTTCCACTAATAATTTGTTTTTAATTTTCATAAGTGGAATTTGTGTATTAATTCTTTTTTCACAATAATAATTTAATTGCTATGAAATAATACAAAAATTTTTCTAACGTCTGTTAACTTCAGTGCCATTTCAATAAACGGTAGATTTACGAACTAAAAAAACAGTTGAGGTTCAAACACCACATCCTTTGTTCAGGAGTAAGGCGCAGATCAAATTGCTGACAGGAACAGACAAGTTCGTACCGTCTATAGTCTGCACACGCACTAACCACGTAAGTTTTTTTTATTGTCTCTATTAATTAATATTATTCAATAAATTAAAATAAATAATTAACTAAAATATTTAAAATTATTTACAGAAACAATTTCAATAAAAAATTGATAAATTTAACTTTGTGTTAAAAAATAAAAGTGACAAAGAATCTTCGCACAATGTCGCATTACTACTCAGATGAAGACTACGAAGAGATGGTGAAGTTGTACAAAAAAAATAAGAAAAATGCTTCCGCAGCGTCTAGAGAATTCGCAGCTCTTCATCCTGATTACCCGTTTCTTCCAAAAGGAAACTTGATTCGCAGAGCTGTCGAACGAAAGTTCCGAACTCGCCAAGCAGCTCCTGAAAAGAAGATGTGGATGCACGTTGATGACATCCCAAAAGGACGATCAAGGCCTAGAAGCCACATGTCAAAGCGTATGTTTGACGAAATCATGGGAATCGCGCCTGAAAAGAAAAAGCCGGCTCAAAGTAAAAAAAAAGCTGAACCTGCGAAGAAAAACGTTCCTGCTGGAGCTGAAAAATCAGCCAAGTCTCAGAGTCAGCCTCCCAAACAAGCTGGAAAATAACTTTAATCAGTTCAAGTATCTTTTTTTTTTAATTTTCAAGTGTGTTTTTTTTTTTATCGTATTTTTTTGTCATTATTTAATAATTAAAATGAAACATTACAGCTTATCGGGTAATTTTGGCTATTGTTAACTCTCATTAATGTATTTTTTAAGTAAAATAATATTTTAAGAGCCAAAAGTTATTTCGATTGACTGATAATTTAATTTTATTTAAATATCTCGAGCTTACAAAACTTTTCCTCAATATTCTGTACTTCTTAATGTATTAATTGATAATTTTTACCAAATAATAGTGCCATATTATTGTTATTATTATTATTTAGTATTAAAAAAAAATTTTCTAAATGTTAAAATAACAATTTAAATAATTATTACTAAAAATATGTAATTTTAATAATAATAAATTATTTTTTCATTCTTTAAAATATTTTAAATAAATTTTAAGTCCTTTAAATACTAATTATTTATCTTTATAATTTATTTTTATTAATAATAATTTGGTAAAATTAATTATACGCAATGACTAAAACAGTAAGTATAGATTATTTAATTAAATTGAATAAGTATAATTCAAATCAATAATTATTGTCTACTTTTAATCTAAATTGAAAAGATATTAAAATTATTTAATTGAAATTTGTAATTAAATTTTCCATTTTTTTAAAAATAAAATCTCTTAATCTGTTAAAAAAGAAGTTAATTAATTTTTAATGATTTACAAAAAAAAAATTAAAATTTTAGATTAATCTGACGAGTCTATTAATAATACAGCGAATAAAAAATATGCGGCTAATGAACCCAAATAAGATTTGTTATTTTTTTTATAAATAAAGCGCTAAAATAAATATTTGGAAGCTATTAAGAAAATGAAAGAAATACGAGTTTAAAATAAGTAACTTATCTTAGCGTAAATTTACTTTCAGTTAGTACTATGAATTATTACGTACTACTTTCCTCTAAGTCAATAAATTTAGCAATTGAAAAAATAATTCAGAGCTTAAATCGATCCGGTATTTATAGAGCTTCAATGTATAATTTTAGAAATAATATCTTATAATATCATTCTATATTTAAATCAATTACTATAATTGAATGAAAGTAATAAAATATATAGAGCAATATTTACAATTTTTTAAGTGTACACTATTTGTTTTGATTAGTAAATTCTTAGTACATGCTTATGATGACTATTGTTCTCACAAGTGTAGACGATATATATTTTCAATAGCAACTCGAGATGTTATTTAATCTTTACCTTGAAGATTCGTCTCGCATTAACTATAACATCTCCATAATTAATACAGCGCAGCATTAATTTATTGTTGTTATAACTAATGTACGAGTAACATGATCTTTATCAGGTGAATCGAGATAAAATAGAATTTTATTTGCATTTAATTAAATTTTAATCAACTGGAAACATTGCTGTATATTAAATTATTTTTTTTTTTAAATAAACAATTTTAAAAATGAATCAGAAATTTAATTTAAAATGTAAATAATTTATAAATAATTTCAATTAAAAATTTTTACAAATAAAATTAATGCATTTTTTAAAAAAAAAATATATATATAACGTAGGAATTAACAAAGACAAAAAATTTAAGGTATTCATTATAATTTTATTTCAATAAACCTTAATTAATTAAGTGTAAAATTAATCGGAATAAAAAATTCCTTACAATTGTTTTTTAATGTCTAAAATAAATTCTAAAAGTAAATTATTTAAAAACTGTAAATTTTACATATAATCGAAAATAAAAAATTTTATTTTCGAAGGGTTGAAAAAAAAATCACTGTAATAATAAAATAATAAAAAAGGTTCATGTAAATATTACCAACTAATGATTGTTTAAAAATATTATGGCCAACTAAATTTCGTCTATAAAAATACGTGTACAATTATTTAAGTCTATTTTTTAATTTAGTGATTGTATGATCCCTCACATTGTAATTTGGCATAAGTTATACTTTCTTATAATATTGATCAGTTTTTAATAATCGTCATTATTTTAGATAAAAATTTACAATTAATTACAAAGACAAAAGTATATTAAAAATTTATCACAAAATGGGTTTAGCGGTCAATAGATATAGGGTGGAAGCAATACTAAAATTGATAAGGCCTTACAAGACTGGTTGTCGTATCGATTAAAAAGTATGAAATAAAAGTTAGCAGTTACTTGATCATTTAAAAATTTTTTTTAACAAAAAAATTTGTTAAAAAAAATTGCATTTTTAATTTTTTAACGTCAATTTTTTTCTGCCATAATTTATTTGTAAAAAAAAATAATCAAATATCTGCTAAATTAATCTTAATTTAAAAAGTAAATGATATAATAAAATGTATGTGTTACCCGCATGAAAATAAAAGAATTTTCAGAATAAAAAATTTAAAAGGTGATATTCTATAGCTCCAGACAGGAACCAGAGACAGGTACGATGGATAAAGGACTTTAAAATGAATTATTAGTAGAGTCTTTTCTCGTAGGAGAAGAGACTGTGTACATTGCCTTCCTGTTGAGCAGAAGGAGATCTCCGCTCGAATCTAAGCTTGCCACTGTAGGTCATTTCCCGCAACGCCAGAAGGGATCTAGCTCCGATGTCCTGACAGCCGTGTTTGATGCCGCACTGCAAGTAGGGCAAGAACTTGAGGACACTTCCCTTGTCAACGATCGACCCGCTGACGCCCTGGGCGACTTTCATCTTGTCCATTTCGTTGTGGAAGTATCGATCCATAGCAGAACCCTTGGCGTCTTTCTTGTTCATCGCTTCCAGAGATCCCATGCCACGGTACTTCTTCAAACGAACGCCGTCGCTGAAGAAGTACTCGCCGGGGGCCTCAGAAGTACCAGCTAGCAATGATCCCATCATGACAGTGCTCGCTCCAAGACTTAGAGCCTTGATGATGTGTCCCAGAGACTGGATCCCTCCGTCAGCAATCACTGGAACTCCAAACTTGTTCGCGTACTCGCTTACTTTGTAGACAGCAGTAGCCTGAGGCCGTCCTACAGCCATGACTTCCTGGGTGATGCAGATAGACCCGCAGCCCATGCCCACGCGGAGTCCGTCAGCACCAGCCTCGATCAAATTCCTGGCTTGCATTGTCGTTACTACATTCCCCGCAATCACCTGCAATTTCGGGTACTCTTTTTTGATGAACTTGATCATCTCGATTTGGTAGATCGAGTTTCCTTGAGAAGAGTCCAAGACTAGCACGTCGACTCCTACGGATGCTAGTAATTTGAGACGCTCTTTGTCAGTCTCTCGCGTTCCGATGGCTGCGCCGACCAACAGCTGTTTGTTCTCGTCCTTGCTGGCTATTGGGTAGCTTCTGTTCTTCTTCAAGTCCGTCCGAGCCATCAGGGACACCAGCTCGCCTTTGTCATTCACTATAGGCAGTTTACCCTTTTTAGACTTCTCTAGAATGTAATTAGCCTCCGGCAATGTCACTCCCAACTTGGCGGTGATCAAGTCTTGCGATTTGGTCATTACAGACTCTAGCTTTGTTTTCTCAGGGCTAGATGAGTCCTCCAAGAAATCGATGTCCCTTGATGTCACGATTCCTACCAGCTTGCCTCCTATTTTACCGTTTTCTGTTATTGGTATTCCGCAAAATCCGTGCTCCGCTTTTACATTCAACACGTCTCGCACCGTGTCATTTGGCGAGAGAACTACTGGATCTCTGATGAAACCATGTTTGTATTTTTTTACCTTAAAAAAAAATTTTTAATGATATTCAAATTAACAGACACTTAAAAAAAATTTTTTTTAATAATAAACTATAAGTCTCGAAAATTATTTTTAAAAAAAAATTTTCATTTGTAAAAAACTCGAAAAACTCTAAGTGCAATTTTTAAAAAATATTTTTTAGTTCTAATTTAATATTTAAAAAAAAATCAAAAAATTAAAAACGTCGGCTAACTTTAGTGTTATAATTTTTTATAACATTAAAGTTAGCAGTCACTTGACAATTTTTTAATTTTATTTATTAAAAAAATTAGTTTTTCAATGTCAATTTTTTTTTTACCATAATTGATTTGTTATAAAATTTTTAAAATTATTAAATATCTGCTAAATTAATTTTCATAATTTTTTTTGCTATTATTTATTTGTTAAAATTTTGTTTTTTTTAATTATCAGATGTCTCTCAATTCCAGTATTATAATTTTTAATATTAAATAATTAAAAAAAAAAAAAAAATTACACATGTACGTTTTAAATTTTCTACATGTGCTCATTTATTTTATCTTTTAAAAAATTGACATGTGTCTGTTATTTTTAAAGTCAAAATTTACACAAATATAAATTAAAATAAATTATAATAGTAAATATTTTACCTTGTGAACTTCAGCAGCCTGGTACTCAGGAGTGCAATTATGATGGATAATACCAATGCCTCCAGAGAGTGCCATCGCGATAGCCATGTCCGACTCGGTGACGGTGTCCATCGGTGATGAGACCAGCGGAACCTTCAAGCCAATCTTTTTCGTCAACGGAGACACCAGTTCGACTTGATCAGCGACGAAGTCGATGTACCCGGGCAGAATAATAAAATCATTGTAGGTGAGTCCCTCACCTGCTGTGAATAATTTGTTTGCAGACAAACCGTCGTCAGGAAGCTCCATGTCTTCAATTTTAGCAGCCGGAATATCCATCGTTTGTTATTTATTGATACTGATTCTCGTTTTTTTTAAATTGACAATTAAATTTTTTTTGTTCTTACTGTTTGTTTATTTATAAAATACCGGGCGTATTGATTTTTTTCACAGGCAGGAAGATGGTGTAAATAACTATTTTATTTAATACTAACACGTGGCTTTTTTAATTTAGCGCCCGATATACACCTCACTAGATACTCTGGCAAAGTGACCGAATGCACATTGCGCGATGCGCGGATATCTTATTATATACACCATTTGTGAACATAATTTATATATATTATAATTATGTATATTTATTATCATCTCGATTGATGCATCATCTGACGGTAAATAGTGTAAGTAAATGGTCACTGCATTTTATTCAATTTTTATTTTTATTTAATTAAATTTTTATTTAAAAATTCTTTTATTTTATTTTTATTATTAATTAGTTATTTTAATACGCGTATATTAAAAATTATATAAATAATAATAACTTGGTTAGTTTTTAATCAACTTCAAGGTAAGTTTTAATGAAGCACGGGATAATTTTATTAGTTAATTTAATTTTATAAATGCGCATGCGTTGCGCGCAAAATTTTAAATGCAATTTTTACAAATTAATTATTATTTGAAACTAATAACTAAAAAATTAAATGAAAATTAAGTTAGCCGATATCTAGACATTTTTAGAATTTTTTTATTGCAAAAAATAGAATAAAAAATTTCATTTTTAAAAAACTATAAGTGCAATTTTTAAAAAATATTATCTAGTTCTTATTTAATAAATGAAAAAAAATCAAAAAATTAAAAATGTCGGCTAACTTTAGTATTATAAAAATTAATGATTAATAATATAAAATAAAAAAACGCCATTTGGCCACACCGAAATGGAAAGTAAATTTCATAAAATGAATTATCGTCTTGTCTCAATAACTTTCATTTGACAATGAATGAAATTTATTTTAACATACATAAGTAGGTTGTATTACATTTCCTGAAAATGGTTTAATTGAACTCTTAATTTCGATAAAATACCTAATAATTGTCAAAAAGTTAACATTATATACGCCAAATTAGAGGTAATTTTGTGAGCTTTTACACGAATTTATTAAAAATTAGCTATCTTTTTTCTATCAAAAGCTATACATAAACAGGGTGGCGATTGGCCTGAAAAACCTGAAAATGTCAGGAAATTTGAAATTTCTGGAATAGTCAGTGAAAAGTCAGGGAGTTTTAACTTGGGTCAGGGAAATTTCTAGTTTATTTTAAAAAATAAACTAAAATGCTGTAGAAATAATAAATTATTTCTATAGCATTCTAAAAATCATACTGTAGATAATTTTTAATATTAATTGATGTTATTTAATTTCTTAATTTATATTTCCTCTTTTTTGCGATCAATAATAGTAAAAAAACTAAATGTATGGATAATTAATAATAAAAAAGAAGTATAACTTCTCAATGATTAGTGATAATAATAATATCAATTATTGTTTCAAAAATTATAATCATTTAATCGAAAGAAACTGATCTCTTTTGAATAGTTGAAAATCTGTAAAAAAGTATAATATAATTTATAGTTCCAAATTTTTACTCAATTCTGGATATTAGATATGAATTCTAGCATACAAAAATTATTTTTAAAATAATTTTCAATTATAACGAATATTTGAATAACAATTATTTTTTTGTAGGTTCTGGAATTTTATTTTTGGTCAGGGAAAAGTCATGGAAAAGTCAGGGAGTTTTGAAATTAGTGTTCAGTCGCCACCCTGATAAATGAAGTCACCAAAAACGTAATTTTTACTATTTTGATCATTTAGAAGAGCTACTATTTCTGAACGAGAAGAATTTTGCTCATTTTAAAGGTCACACAAGCTAATTGTCTAAGGGATTTGTATACTAAATTTCATTAGGATCTGTTTTGAGAATCCTCGATAGAATAACATTCATAAGTCAATTGTACTACACATTGCCTGAAAATGGTTCAATAGAACTCTTAACTTTGATAAAATAACTAAAAATGGGCAAAATTTCAATGTTATATGCGTCAAATTGAAGGTAATTGCATGAGTTTTCACCTAAATTTATCAAAAATTAGCCATCTCTTTTCAATCAAAAGTTATACATCAATAGTCACCGAAAACGTGATTTTCATTATTTTGATAATTTTGAAGAGCTACCATTTCTAAACTTATTGACAGTAGGTTATTAAAATAATTTTATTGCAATTATAAATTTAATAATTTATATTGAAATTTTAGAGGAAAAATTAAATTTTATAAGAAATTTTTAATATTCTACTTGTATTGATTTTACTCCGATTTTTTTTATTATTTTGGCGACTGATGACAATTCTCCGATTGTCGATAAATTCGGAACTTAACAATTTCACCGTTAGTAAGAAACCCTTTCAATAAAAATTAGAGTTATATATAATAAATAATAATTAAATATTTTTATTAACCTACATAAAAATTTTTTCTTAAAAAAAAATTATATCAATAAAAATATTTTCACAAATCATTAAAAAAAAAATTCTTTATATTTCAAGAAAAAAGTATAAAAATATCTTCGCGGGAAGAAAAAATCTCTACAACTATTTTTTACCATAAAAAATCTTCATATAAAAAATTGAAATTTAATTAAACCGCTAAATATTAATTTTAAATAAAATTTAAGTAAAAAATAAATCAATTATCAAACTTAATATTAAAATCTCAGAATCTAAATCAATAAAAATAAATCAATAATTATAATTAGTTTCTTTTAAATAAAACAAAATTAAGGCTCTTGTAACCCTTGTAAATAGATCAAGAGCGCTTCTCTAGCTCCGACACCCACGTTTACCTTTTGACGCATCAATAATGTAATTTTGATCTTTATTAGACCCTTCAGGGTTGTTGCGATGACCTCAGTAACGCTCGGTAAGTAGGGGTAACCAACGCCTAGATCACGTATAACTATCTCGTAAGTAAAGGATAACTCTGGTGAAGCCAAAGCCTCTGAAGCCGAAGCCAACGGCTATAAGTAATATATATCCACACTCGTACATATAAATACCAAAGAAACGTACGAGTCGATGTCACAAAAATCCAACCCAGTAAAGTTTAGATCTTCATCTATATTAAGAATATTCTTAATCTTGGCCATTATTATTATTATTATTATTATCTTCCATTATAATCCCAATCAAAATGATAATGATAATCGTAATAATGATCTTTAATGGAGTATCTTGTCTTGTAATCAGCAAGTAACAATCAACAGAAGGTTGGTTGGTTGGTTGTATAACGTTGATTAGCATTGAAGCTATACTGAAGAATAAACTTGATGTAATAGAATAGAATAGAATAACGAATGAAGAGAATATAAAGGATGACGAAGTGAATAAGGGGAAAAAAGATGACATAGATGACTCGAGATTCGCTCATCTCTTCTCTCGACATCAGCTTCTCTCTTCCTCTCTTTTCTATTTCCACATCAACATCTCGGTCTGGGGATGTATATATGTGTGCACAGCTCGCTCTTTCATCCCCTACATTCTACACTCTACTATAATACACACTCACACCTGGACAATAAAATCCATCTGTGTGTACATATACATACTAGAGCACACAGCTTCTCGGTTCTTAGTTCTCAGTAAACGCGGAATAGGAAGCGCGCAAGTCACAGATCGATCGTCTATCGTCATGGTTACACCTCTTCTCTGTATAGAAACGTACGAGCACCTCGCTCTCACGGTAAAACCACCCCCGAAAAAGTACGTCGGGCATCGCATCTGGACCGACGTTACAACCGAGAGTTATAACCTGTTAAAGCATTAAGCATAACTTTGTACTTGAATAAAATTTATAAATATTTTTATCATTTTATCTTTTATTTTTATTTTCTTTTAGTTTGTTAATAAAAAGTGCGCTTTTGTCACTCGTTCGTTGTTGAGATAAATAAAATTGATAGTAATAATAAAATAAATTGTAGAGATAGTTGTAATTAATGTGTGGTAAAAAGTGGAATTTAGAGTTTTTAAATAATAATAAATACAGCAGATTAAAATAAAATAAAATCTCCGGAGAAGATACGGCGCACGGGCGCATCGCAGAAAAAGGGATATTGACATTTGTTGGATAGGGGCGCTGTTAAGATCCAGGACTGCCCTGATCTTCTCTCCCGCAGTATCCATGGATACGCTCTGGATAAATTCGCGCGAAACCGGCGCGTTAGCCAGTGAACTAACGAATAAAGAGTAAACGGGTGAAGAGCAAAAGTGAAGCTGGCGGTGAGTGCTTTAACTCCAATAGTTATTTTTTAAATAAATAGATTTAATCATAAGTGATTGGTCTTATAAAATTGTGTTTCGTAAATTTGAATTTTACTGTGGATTTGTGTCATGTGACGATGCGTTTCTGACGCTCCACCCTTGTCCTTACCCCCGTTGCCTCGTTCACTTTCTTCTCTCCCTACCTCACTATTGCGCTTTCTCTGTGTTATTGTACAATCTACATCAGTATCACGGTATGTTACGGGTGAGGTCTCGCGGATGTCGTCGACCGTAAGTGTAAATTTACATTTTCTTTTTTAACATCAACCATTTCGGAGTTTTCTTCATCTTCTGGTTTTTGTCGCCGGGAAAAAGCTCGGAAATTCACTCCGAGCTTTAAATTTAGTCGGGAGTTTTGACAAAATAGCTCAAATGTGCTTTTTATTTTTATTTTTTTTTCTAACTATTTTTGCGTCAGTGGTCTTTGGTGCCCTCTCCTCCGTCACTGCCTCCCTCTGTTCTTGGGCGTCGTCGCTCCAGTGAATGCGGTGCACCTACGATAGATGCAATTTCGGGAGTCGTTGGCATCCATTTTAACACATATGTTTTACAATAATACTCTTAATTACAATCATTATTTTTTTTTGGTATCAATAAAAATTATGATTAATTTTATTTTAGTTCAAAATAAAAAAAAAAAAAGGAAAATTTATCTTTTTTTGCATAATTAATTTTATTTTACCGCAAC